ATTGTCAAATCATGATTTTAAACTACAAACGTGTTTTCAAACTCGCAACAGCTAAATTTATTGACGGTCCAAAATCCAAATACAAGGCAACAAACATCGAACACAAAACAATGTTCCTAGGATCGAGCCCTGACAGTGTCATCGATTTTTTTTTAATTTACATCGATTTTTAAGGTATATCTAACTAATTTGCAATAACAGATAAAATATTAATGTTTAAATTATAATTAAAAACATGTTAAATACTACAATAAAAATTAGAATTTTAATTAATTTATAAGCTGTGTAATATTGTTTTATAAATATTAAGAAGCGTATATATGAATCGTGTTTCACCACTGAGCTCGTTTATGTAATAAACCTGGTAAGGCGTGTTTCAGACCAAATTAAATTTTGGCATCAAACGAATTTATTTGAAATTAATCTACGACGTGTAATACAGTATGTAAACGTATATATACATTCAGAAGCATTTATTAGAGTCTAATAGTGCGCCTAACATGTCACCTGTTACTCAATTCTCCATTATCGTGTAAAAGAGAAAGGTGTCTTCCCACGAGGACCTCCCTGACGCGCATACATTACAACGCGCATTGTCGCCGACCGCGGTGTCGCCCGCCGGCCACACACAGGTCTTATATTAACTTTACACCTTTAAGCGTCTTTTTTTAGACCCTAGGATAACCAGACGTATATATATATCCTTCATTTTTCATTTATAAACCAATACAGTCTCATTTCTCACGAAAAATGTGGTATTTTTAAGGACTAAGCTATCTTATTACAAATATACCAAAAGTCACACCAAACTTTTGTTTATTATCTGGCATCCCTATAACCCCAATAATACCACAGCCAATTGGAAAATGGTATTAATTACTTCACGCTTGTAAACGTTACGCTTATTAGTTTATTACATTAATATCCAATAAAAATCAACCGCACGCTTCATCTTTTGATTTCCTTGGTGTATTTTTATATTCATGTGGCGCCGTTCCTAACGCAGCGTTAAGTAATAACATCAAACTTTGTAACGTCGACAGAAAGCTATATAAACAACTTATTAAACAAGTATATACATTGATTAAAACAAACTTAAATTTTTATAATGTTAAATTATAAAATATATAGTTATTAAATAATTTCGCATTTTTAACCGATAAATATACAATAACTTTAATTCGACTGATTTTATTCAAACTATACTCTCCCAATAAAAACGTAATAACGAACAACAAATACTGGAAACGACAAATACGTACCTACAGTTTGACAAAAACTTTAATATTATAATATGTTCATATCAACTTAATGTAATGCATGTTTTAAATACGGATAACGATACGTCAAATGACTATTTTTTTTTTTAATTAAAATATATAATCTGTGTACATAATATGTATCTAGATGATGTTAATTTTATATCAACAGCGTATATGCAAAGGCTCGAATGCATTACCAGAATCAGCATTAGCATGTTAATGAAGGGGCGGGTCCTCTCTGATTCCATACAAATCACGTCCTGTGTCTCCCACGCGGGTCTCCTCGGCTGTGATATATGCGTTTTTTAATAACCAATTACATTGTCCACCCCAGCTTAGATATTCCATTTCGTTTTTGTCTTCTTCATTCTTAACTTCAAATCGAAAGTTACTTAAACAAGGAGTTTATAAAATTACAGTTTGACTACATACCTAATAAACAGGAAAGATCTGTTCAAACGCACTATATCGGTTTTTATAAATTTTATTTATATTTACTACTAATACAAAACAGCGGAAACCCGTAATAATGAATAATTTCCCAATTTTTTTCACATTTCCCCATTTTAAAGTCTCAGGGCCATGTGTCCTGGCCTATAGCCTTCCTCGATAAATGCTCTAACCAACACAAAAATAATACTTTAATTAGAACCTGCAGTTCCTGAGATTACCGTGTTCAAAACAAACAAACTCTTCAGCTTTATATATTAGTATAGATAGATTAAATTATAAACCTTTTGTCGTGGTATACGTACCATACGTTCATACCTACCATCTTATAACATCGTATATAATATGTATGGGCACAGCATTTTAACCGCAAAAGAGATAATACATAAAATAATAAATCTTAACTGTACCGTCGTCGTTTTATTAGTTTTTTATGAGCCGAAATAAGTGAATCAAGGTTGTGTTAGGTCTGTGTCGCGCCGACAGTAGGGCGTTAGAACAGGTATTGTTTAATCTCGATTAACATAGTAACGAAGGGGCGTGTCGCGGCGGTAACTCACGCCTGCACAAAATAAATAATTTGACCCGAGGAATGCACCCCAATAATGGATCTCTCATTCCAGCATATTTTACTGCCTAGTAAAATATGCTGGAATGAGACTTAAAACGGCGATCGGACTAATTTTTTTTTGCTTAATGGGTGGGGTACACTTTTTGTAATTAAAATATTCATAAATCCTTATTTATAGTCCTTATTTATCCTGTATATACACAAGTAGGTTAAAATTAACAGACCGTTTAACCAAACCAAAGATTTTAAATACGTACATTAGGATTACGTATACAAAATGTCATCTCTGTTAATCAGTATCATTATTTCTCTGCGAATTTGATCCTTAACATCATTAACTAGAATAGCAATTGAAAGAAGAAGGAAGAATGTGTTGTTACAATTTTAACTCACTATACATTTATCTCGTCTTGATTAAAATCATGATTTCGACTCCTGGCTGGAGTACTTTATATTGTCTCTAATTTACACGCGCCGACCAATCAAGTATTGGAAGAAAAAGGCATTACGTTGGAATTTGCTTTTAGTTTTCGCAGAAAGGAATGTTAATTGGTTATAACAGAGTGTTTTGGACTCACCGATAAGTGATGACCACCACTTGAGATTAAGGTATTGTTATGTAGTGTTTTATTAAGGGTTTAAAAGCACTGGAGAGGTACACAACGCGAACTTTAAAAAACGAAGTGTATTTTTTCGGTTATAATTGTTTAAATAAGTATGTCATCGATAGCTATACTATATAGCTATCGATATTATTAAATAAACTTGTATATAAATTTAAAATATATTTTAGAATGAAAAAAATTTAAACACGGGCAGGACTCGAACGGGCATCCACGCCCGTGCTGTTGCTCTAACGTCATCATCGATTTTTTTTTACAATTTAATTTATATGGTGCCATCATGTGCAATATGTTCAAGTTTTCAAATCTTAAATACTTTAGAAACAGTTAAAAGCGTATATAGCCGTAGGTAGAAACAACAATAAAACATTGTTCGTTCTACGGCTGTACTGCTCAATACATTTGATAGAACATAAATTTTATTTAATTAAATACGACGTATGATTGACGAATTCGAGTAGAGATGTTCAGTTTAATTTGTGCCTTGGATATAAATAAATGTCATTGCGTTTGCTTAGCGCAGCGATCTCGTCAGGGTGGTTTCCACATTTGTCACCGTTAGCCAGAAGCTCGGAATGAGAATGCTATGGGTGGGTTAAATTAAACCGAAAGTTAGGTTTGTTAATCAATGACATTAACTACATGACAAATTATACAACATTCACCCAATCCTTAGCATCAGTAGAAATAATAACTAAACTAGTTAACGTTAACTTTAATTTTAAATTGACTTCTATTAGTAGTAGTAGTATTGAATTCTATTTTTGGGATCGGTTCTATACACATGCAAGTAGATGATCAGTTAAGATCGCCCTGCCTGACCGAAACTTCCCGGGAATTTGAATCCAGTAGTACCTCTAAGCATTTAGCTACAGAGTAACCAACGTTTAAACTAAAGTAAGTAAGTTAAATTATGTTTAATTATTATTATTCAATCACATCAACACTTTTGTATTATTCACTTAATTAAATCCCTATATAATTTCCAGTCAATGAAAATAGTCAGTAGGAAAGTAAAGTTGCAAGACAAATAGCTTATTGGAGGTCTGTTCCTGCACTATATACACAATCGAACTAAAAAAATAACATCTCAGTAACATACTATATGTCTTCCCTAAGGATTAGCTTCTCCGCAAGTTACGCGGCAGTTATCTTAGCAAGCATCGGGTTCTATGCAAATTTGGTTTTTGCGTTCCAATTGAAGAGTAAACGAAGTTGCATCCAGCCGGCTCTGGGTGGCCAAATGCATGTATGGCATACTAGCTGTGCTCGCGACTGCGCCCGAGCTATAGTTTAGACTGGAAATTTCCAAAATAGATAGATAAAATAGACAACTTCGTAGCGCCGATATAAGCTTACTACAAAAAACACGTGATGATGTCAGTACTTTCGAAGATCACTGCATTATTATAATTAGCAAAAATGTTGGTAACTTGAACAAATGAACTGATTATTACTAATAGTTCCTCACTAAAGAATAAAATATTATTCTTGTCTTGTTCCTACTTATACCATTAGGTACATCTTATCAAATCGGAATAAACACGCATTTTTAATAAGTGCTTATTAAAAGCTATATAATAGACTCAATAGAGTATATGAAACGTTTAAAAGATTTGTTGTATAACAATAATCATCGCTAATTGTATACATACAGGACAACAAGAGAACTCCACCGAACAACAACTACTTTACATATTATAATATTCAAAATTACTCTCAACGACTGAGTCATTCCCTGACAGAATTGTGTTCAGTTCTATTAAGGCACAAACTGATGTTAAAACTTATATATATCTATATATGGATTTTCCTATGAAAATACAAAAATGAAATTATGAATTTTGCAGTAAAACCTTCTTTTTAAGCTTAGTAGTATTTTTGTCTTTAGGATGATTTTTCTATTGTTTGTTCTTTTATTTAAAATAATATAGAGTTAGACCACAGAATAGAACAAGGTACAGATACTGCGACAGCTTCAGGTTTGTCACAATTGTATATCGGTCCCATCTAAAATAGGATGTTGCTAGTTGAAGCCGCCTAAATAAACTAAACACGCGTCGCCTTAAGATATTTTTTGCGCGGCGCATCTCGATGCGACAGCGACACGACGATAAATTAGATGCGTTGAAATGTTTGTGTTGTATCCCCGTGGCCGGCGTCCGCGTCGACGGCGCACGCGCATACATTAGCGCACAATACCGCGGGGGGCGCCCATTGTGTCCCACACTTCACACCCCACCCCCCTCCACCCCCACCCACCTTCCCCCTAATGAACAATTCAATACCTACCGAGACCTGCAATTACGAGATAAAAATCGAGACATGTGTGGTCAAAAGCTCCAAACTCTAAAGCCTCTTAAAGCGAGCGTTTACCGGAACAGTGAAATGTTCGGATGTACGATTAGGGTTGCGCACGCTCGTAATTCTAGGTTTACGCGGGTTCCGCGCCGACTAATGACCAGATAATTGGACGGCAGGTGTGCGCAAGGGCTGCACGCTAAACGCACACGCCAAGTGCCGACAAATCGATCATCGAAAACCTTTATTCCGACTGCTCGTGAAAGGAAGTAACTATACTTTAACGAACAGTAAAATAATTTTCATAACAAGCGCGTTTTATCGCACCCAAGAGCTTTTGAAAAGCAAATTAAGATGATTATGTAAATACGGTAACAATGGATTTGTGTAGTGTGATGTATAATTATTGTAATGTCAGCAGTTGTATTTTATCAAGCTTCCAACGGGTTGCAAACGTGACAGCTGTCTTATGAACTCCCTACAGTTTTTCAGACGTTTTTTAGTATAAACGATAGCAAACGTCTCGAAGTCAAGGTAAAAAACAACTGTTTCTTTATTATTATTGCTTATGTTTTTAAAGGCAAGAAAACTACAATTAATATTTTATTTATTTAGTTATTGCCAATTTGTACTAAATGATTAGTTACGAATTAATGTAAAAACGGATAAATATTTAATTGCCTAAGCCTATGGCTTTTCTTAGAATACGTAGTAGGTCTGAAATTAACGTAAGTACATGAAAGTACAAGCTGTCGAGGCAAAAAGTAACTTTTTCAAGACCACCTGGTACGCCACCCGCGCCAGATCCAGGCAAAAAAATCAACAAAAAACGTCATAATATTTGAATATTGATACAAAAAACAATTAAGGCAGCCGCGCCTCACCTGTCACGGGCACGAGAGGCACATTTGCATAGAAACTGAATTTATAAAAAGCACAATGCTTTCATAGATAAAGAGCAGATAATTTTATTGATAATTCTATGATATTTAAACGTTTAATGGCAACACTCGAAATTTATTAGTTAAAATTATTACTTTATTTTAACTACGACCCGATGTCTCGGATTCTTTACAGGAGCTTTACCATGAGCACGTTTTTATATGTATTTAAGTTTAATATTTAAGCTCACAAGAATTAATTCACTTAATATAAAAAAGGCATTTGAATAGTGTAATATTTGAATAAATATTTGCGTATATTAAAACTTACTTTTTACTTCATTCATGGAGTCTAAATATTATTAATATAATATTTTACAAAAACTATATTTATATAAAGTAAATTAAATTAAATCACGCGATTTCAATTTTATAAAAAAAAATTATAAGCATAGCGTATGTAAGTATTGTTTCTAACATGATGAAAGTAACGCTAGATATAACAGGTGGAATAATATCTACTTATACTGAAACAAATATATATCACTTTATATTATGACAAATAATACACACACAGCACAGCTATGACACATCTTTTGTCTATATAGAAAGCATCTAATCAAGAACATGGCTTTGTAAATATCTGTGTTCATCTCTATTGTATCCGAAGACAATTCCTTGTTATGCATTTTCTGTTGCTGAGTTCATAAGTCAAAGGTAACAACAGATTAAAAATGATCCAGATTATAACGACAATTGTCAAAATATGACAAACTCATGTTTCTCCTACTAATATTATAAAGCCTTAAGAAAAAAGATATCTATTACTTTTTCACGCACGCTAATGGCACTGTTTTGATAAAATAAGTGTCTAATGTTATTGCACTATATATTATATACATAAATACGAATCAATCATACTGTCTATAGTTTACGCGAGTAGTACACATTTAAATAAAACACTTTAACGGTTTAAAACGCGATATATTAGTTAAACTTATTTGAAAATGATTTTTAACTTCGGCCCGACGTTTCGGATGCTTTGCAGCAGCCGTGGTCACGGGGAGACGAATTAATCATATTTAGGTTACTTTTCAATTTAAATACCGGAAAAGCACCGAGGAATTCTAAGAAAAGTGTTTTAACTAACCAATTAGACGAATAAGTGGCTTCGGTGGTTCATTGATTTCTGTGCCCTACCCGACTGGAAATATTGTTTCACCAGGATTCGAACCCAGGTTATATCCTATTTAACGCAAGGCTAGGCAATGTTAATAACACTGAGCTGCAGTGGCGATCATACTAACATATCAAGTTTAACTTACCGAGGTTAAATTGGAGTTAAAAAGGTAATTATTAAAATGAAGTCTATATTAAATAGTATCGTTTATATCTGAGCACTTTCATTACATTCCGCGGTCTGCCTGCGGCTGAGGATTTTCTTCTTTTGAGTCATTACTGCCCTTTATATAAAAAGCATAATCTTTATCGTATACATTATATTCGAAACTTCTCGGGTTAGTGTAGAAAAACACCAGTTTTAAGAAAAAATTGAATATTTTTTTAACTAAACTAAAACTTTTTATGTAGTTTGAATGTTTGAAACTTAATATTTTCGCCTTTTATGCATATGATGGGAGTATATAAATGAATTATCGATTTTAGATAAAAAAGACTTTAGGACATGGAAAGGAACCGGCATCCACAGCGTCACTGTACTGTTCCTACCAATTGAACTACCAGCTCACAAACGGACACGGTAGCTCAATCGATTAGAACAATTGTATTTTATTTTGCTTTAAATTTTCAAAAAAGCGTTTAAATAATCAAAAAGCATTGAAATAAATAAAAACCTGGTATACTTAAATGTATTTTCTTGGAAAAACAAGGGAAGCACACGCAGACGCCAACCGCAGTCAGTCGGTCATCGGTAGCCTCGCCGCGGGCGCTCGTGCCACTTGCGTTCCAATTTCGAATGCAAATCAGTTCTCAAACAAAACAGAAGATGAAGGTTACATTACGTAGCCAAATTGAGGATCTTGACCGTTCGCGTGTCAAAGACCCGCGCTACCACCGGGATAAGAATAGGTTATATAAAATCGATTCTTTTAATGTATGCCCACAAAGACTAACTATCGGAAGCTTCCGTTTACCAATTTAGGTAAAATGACGTTTAATTTTCAAAGAAATCGAATTAATGTTTAGTTTTTGACGATTTCGCCTTTGTTGTACAAGTTGTTTTTGTTAAGCGGCAGAAACTCTAATATGTTTATAGTACCTAGTCTCATATATTGTTATAGTTAGTCTGTTAAAACTGTTAGAATCATTAAAATTAAAATAGACACCGAAATATGTCTTCTTTAACTACAAGAAAGTCGAATTTCATATTTTTATTCGATAGTTTAATTCTAGTTATAGAGTATAGAACTAGCTCAAAATAAATATGTCATCAATGACGACTAAATACTTTTTGGCGCATCCTGTCACTGCCGACATTTTGTAGATCAGTCTAGTGTCTCTGGTTCGAACGAAGGAGAAGCAAGGCCGGTCACTCACATTGGCGATCTAAGTCTCGTAACATTGTGTAATGCGTGATATGAGTCATTGCCAAGTGGCTAATAAGATTTGTGGAACACTTTCGCATCCTAATTAGATACTTTCGTTTAACGAGACGTTTAATTTTGAAAGGCCTGGAATTTGTTTACTATAATTTAAAACCAATTTGCTACTTGACTTACAAGTAAATGATTAAGACCCATCTTCGAGATTAAACAAAAATAACTTATATATATTTTGACGTATGTTAAGCATTATTAGTTAGTAGTTAACCAACTAAATAAATTGCCGGCTAAAACATAGTAATTAGTTCAATATCCATACAATAACATATGCTCGTATCGATCTCCTTGTGGAAAGCCGAAGGCCCATTTTGTTGGCGCTAATAAATCATTTCATAAAAGCACCGCTCGATCTAAATCGATTTGTCTAAATTATGAACTCCGCGATCAGTTTACGTTAAACACTTAAGCAATCTGAACGAATATACGATTATATATGCACAAAGGAATTATTGAAGCTCAATCAACAAAACATATCATATAAACTTTTTAACGAAAATATCTAACAAGCAACAGAGCGATTTTTTCAGTCCTAAAAAAAATCAGGATGTAGTCTCACAAAGACTACTTATTACTGTAGCTCTTAAAACGTCGATATTTAATCATTCTTGATCTAACCAAAACAGTTTGTTTTTTATAAATAATAACATTAACTCCTATGTACGGCTTCGTGGTAATTTTAAGATATTTAACAATTAATAGACACAGCTGAAACAGAAAGTAGGAAAACTGTATCGGACCGTAAAGAATAAAAAACATTAGTTAAAAACTTATTTTTGGGTCCAGAAGTCGGCTATGCAACTTTTCGTCTTGTTCCCAAGGCATATAGATGTGATACTTAGTTAAATAGTAAAGAAAGGACAAAGAAATACACTATCGCATTAATAATATTATATGGTTTACCTGAGATATAAAATCGTCTTAGCATGACTAGCGCTTTTAAGTGGGTTCGTAGGTAGCACCCCACGCCATATGTTTAGGACGTTTAGCGGTTCAGGGCGTATGGTTAACGACCTCGATCACGACTAATTAAAAAATAAATGTCCATATGCCCATTTATACTTTTATGCCCAATTACGCACAAGTTGACATTTTCAACTATTATAACGACTTAGACAAGCATTGAAAACCCGATTTCCCCATCGTACAGAATGGACACAACTTTGAGTCTGGTTAGTTGTAGATACGGACATGCAGTTGTTATGGTTTTTTTTTGCCCTTCCCGACCGAAATTGTTTATTATTTATACCCGTCATTCGAATCTTGCACTGCTCATTTACCTTTTGGGACTTGGACACAAAGGGTAGACGACCTAAATTAAAGTGTTAATTTTTTTTCCTAATTAAAAGTGACTTCAAATCATTTTATACAACAGTTAAACTAACACACTATAGCAATATAAATCACTTATACACGCACAGGATTCGAACCTGCGTTACATTGACAAATAACAAGTTGATTACTAAATCACATAACCGACAAACATCTGCAACCGTCAACATACATAAAAAAGTAAATTTCTTGTTTCAAATAAAAATCTCCCCCTGATCTATTGTGGCTAAAAAAACTGATCACTGCTAAAGTCATTAGCGATGGCGTTTCGGCAAATGTTCACAAATTTGTGCTGACACCATATTGCTATAAATATTGTACAAATTACCTGACCTCCTGTCGGCCACCTGCTCTTGTTGCTAATAGTTATCCCCATGTGTTGAGACTGTTGATACTAGTATTTCGCATCAACTAACCGTGAAATGTCATTATAACATGATCAAAGAATTCACCGACACATCTGTCAGTAAAGACGCGGAGTACTGTCAGATCCGTCAGTACCTACTTTTGACCCGACAAGTGTGAAATCAAAAGGTATCTCTGGTAATAATTTATGTATTCTTGAATAGCATTAAAAATTCTTAGCTAATTTTAACGGAGGGAAAATATCTTTGTTATTATTAAATTTTCTCTGAAAATCTTACCTCTAATAAAAATAATGGAGATAATGATCCTTTGTTTGGTTTCATATTTAGTAATTATAATAAAGTAGCGTATATCCTCCTCCTAGCTAAATTATTTTTCAACAATGTTAAAATTGAAATATACAAATACAAAACACAACAACCTACTTTTACCGGCTGAAATATTGTTTATGGTTTCCATAAAAGGTTTTTTGTTTAAACCAAATATAAAGCTGTTACAGATGTTTAAAATTAAATACGATTTAACAATTTTTGTACTGTGATAAGGATTCTTTTGTCTATAGATTAGCACATCTGGCACGGGCAATACACACGGGCGTATTTATTTACTTGAATTGTAAAATCTACCGATAATAAACTCAGTTAGATAATTGTTTAAATAAAACACTATAACAGTTTAAAACACGACAATTGGTTAAACTACAAAGCATCCGAAATGTCAAGCCGTACTTAAAATATGTTTCAAATAAGTTAACCTAATATATATCACGTTTTAAACCTATGGTGTTTTATTTAAATGTATACTACTCGCTTAAACTACATAATGATTCTCTTTTTGAAAGAATGATATTTTTAAAGTTGTAATTATTAAATAATAAAATAAATAGATTAATATTATAGAAAGGATGCATACCACGTAAAATAAATACTTTTACATTGCGATACAATATTACAAAAAGACACAGCCACCATAAACACCGTCTTCTTAAATATCACCGTAGTAGAATAGTTCACCCTATTTTGATCCCCTGAAAAAAAATAATGAAATGAGAACACTTCCAACTTCGAAGTCCGGTCTCAGCGCGCGAACGGAACTGAACCTGACGGCAAATAAATTTACCTCAGTCTGCGACCAACGTTCGTATAGGGAGGTTGTCGCGCGTGCAACCACGATTGGGTGTAACATAGTCGCGTGTTCAATGCCGAGTGAAAGAATAACAAATTTAATTATTAATTAAAAAACTACCTCAGTTAGTAAAATATTGAAGTGAAACTACATTGAATAATACTTAGTTTTATTAGGAATAGTTTATATACATAGAACTGTTAAGTGAAAATATGGGTTTAAAAATGGGTAAGTACAACTAACAACTCATTTAATATTACATAATATATCGTATATAATTTGGTTACCAAATATTGTCATTTAGGAATTAATAAAATACATATACATATAGTAGTACATTGCATTCCAATTATCAATAACAAAACTACTTTTCAAACTGTCTCAAAATTGTTGCCTATTTGCATGTTTTGTGATTTAAATATGGAGGTACTTAATAAAATAATAATAAATGTATTCATTTTAATTTAATTTATAATCACAGTCACTACTTTTCTATTTGTAAACAGTAATAACCTACAAAAGTTTTACTTATTCTTGTTGTCAATTGTCATTAGATTTTATAGACCAGACGAATAGTTTTGATCTATTACATTTCTTAAACTGTCTTAGATCTAGTTATTTTCGTTGTTGAATAATGAAGCCGTAAAAGATACGAGTATATTTCATTTATCAATTTATAGCATTAATTATTTTTATTACATAATGTATAAATGCACGTTATCAATATTCTAATAAAACGCACTATTCTTTAATTTTTATACCTTTTATATTTTTGTAAATTACTATTGTTTTATATTAAGTACTAGCTGTGCCCACGACTTCGTCCGCTTGATAGGTTTTGTTTTGGGCATCAAAATTTGTTTTTACTATACACCATCTCAGCGTTATAAATTATAGGTGTTACATACGACATCATCCACGTCCCGACGTCTTTTCGAGTTAATCATAAAAGATAGGCTGCAACATAGGTAAGTCTGCGATATAGATATACTGTCGCAGACTTTTAAGATCATTTACAAAGGAATCTTTGTTTTATATATTCTGGGTATCTTGAACCATTATTGCATGGAATGCAACGGAAACCCTATGGAAAAAAATGGGGATAAATAATTTTCTCCGTTTTTTCCACATTTCCCACTTTCTCTACGCTCCAGTCTCACATAGCGTGATATTTTATAGCCTAAATCCTCCCTCGATAAATGCTCTAACCAAAACAAAAATATTTTTCAATTGGAACCAGTAGTTCCTGAGATTAGCGCGTTCAAACAAACAAACTAACTATTTGGCTTTATAATTTTATAATATTACTATAGATAAAATACTTTACTGTTCTTGTTTTATTTCGTTTTTTGTATACATTGTAGAAACAGTATTTATCTCATTATAACATACACACAATATGATGACGTTGTTTCATTATTTGTTCGATTTTCCTCATGCATGAACTAGTCCAGACTTGTCACAGTGAAAACAAATCTGATGAAAGTTCCTATAGTAAAAACTTCAATAATTATTCTTATACTTATTCAAACTTACTGGCGACTAATAAATGTTGCCAGTCTTTATTAATTTATCTGGTAGCTTTCTCGGCTTTGTAATAATGTAGAAACTTGAAAAGATTAGAACATAATGGTAGGGAGATGGAAGTTCGTGGGAACTCTCCCAGAGTTCACGTACTTAACACATTACTACGCTTCTCTAAATATAACATTAATATATTCTAGATTAAGATTAACTATAACTGTGTAATTGCGGACTATTTAATGCCAAGCAGTCGAATAAAATTCTACGCGACATGTTATTGGAAAGATATTATAACAGGAAATGGATGGACGAGACCTATAATTTCTTGATATTAGCAATAGTTTTATAAGTTAATATATTTACGAACATGCATAATATTTTTATGAAATAAAGCGAATGAACTCTACCAAGGATCAATTAAGTTTTCATTCATACCACAAGTAGGAATCTATGCCGCCACCTACGCCCATAAGTCACCCATAAATAATCCCACAAGCAAAGGCTTTATTCATTACATTGAATGAAATATAAAATAACAGTGCAGGTATAGAATATGTCGTAAAACTCCCAATTAAGCTTTAATTAAAATACTTTTTTAAAATTAAATCTTATCTTGCAAAGTTCATTATTTTTAGAAACATATACATTACTATATTTAACAAACGGCGATAAATTCATATCGCTCCTCCTAGCACTAATTGCTGATTATATATTAAAATGATCATAGCATAGGCTCGCGCGCATGTTTGATGGGTATTAGCAATAGAGCCTAGTTAGTGGTTCCGGATATATATCGGACGTGTCGGATGTCTGGCTGACTCACGCGGCGCCCACGTCGATCACACCGCACCCACTGGCGCCTGGTCCACGGAGATCTGCTAAAACATGCGTGAACGTGTACCTAACATACGAAATGGCAATATAAACATTACGTTCCAAATATCGCCAACACTAATTTTCCAAAACGAATGTCAAATTGTCGTCAAAATTTGCGTACACAAGCCAACGGGATATTAAATAATCCTGGCCGCTAAAATTGTTTTTATTTCTTTCATATCAGTCTGGTTAGTCACAAGAGCGATACGAACAAGTATCTTCTCGTTCATTTAATTAGATATAGTTGCTGCGACAGATATAGCTGGCGTCTGCACCGCGTCTAGGCTATTTGAGTTTTGGCATTGGTGACTCGTGGGAAACATGAGTTGAACGACTGCCGAGACAATATCATAAACAAATTGACAGACACACTCTTCCCATTTGCATGAAGATAAGAAACTAGTTCATCTGTAAAAATTAGATTTGACTATAATTATTAATGTTGCTTTAGCAGTTTTTCTAAAATCTCTCCTTCTCTATCAGTTTCATGATTGTGATAGTTTTTTCTCTCATCTTTATTACTTCCTCCTTGTTGTAACTTCACTAGGTAATTGGCATTTAGTTACAATTAGAGTAGCAGTTAAATATTGTGATAGCCTGTTATCCGTTGACCAATGTCTACATCGATAGTGCTGGCAGCCGCGGGGTGGCAACCCGCGGTCGATATCCACTGGAAGCGAGCCAGCCGCGATTTGTGCTGCGACACATTAATCCACCCTCGCGACGCTGGATTGCCAGCCATCACAACTTTATTGCCAAATTTACGAAAACAACACAGACAATGTCATAGAGCACGACTACATTGTTACAATTCTAAACGAATAAACTTTTAGGACAAAGTCTATTACACTAATGTATAATAACAAAAAGCTTTGCAAAGTTCATTAAAATGTTTTCAACTCCTGAGACTCAATTTTGTTTTATTATAGACAAACAAACCCTTATATCACTTAATAAACTAAGATTAATTGTACTTTAAGAGTGAATCTCATGCTTTCAGCTTTTATTTCTAGGAGTTTTTTTCCTAGACGACGTTATTTTTCAAACACCTCGAGTTCTAAAACTAAGTGGTTTATAACTAACCCTATTTTATTTCGCAGATGAGCGGCAAAAGAACTAGAAGTTATAGATGCGCAGTACATCAAAGGGACCGAGAGGTCAGCTCAGAAAACGATTTCCACCTTCTTCTTGAAGATCCAACTTTATTTGCCAGGTAAATCATTTTCAAGTGATATCCAATTTGTAGTGGTGATAATAATGGATAAAAACGTATATCAAAACAAGGTCAAATTTTTAATTTATTGCAGTTATTTATTATTTCTTATTGTCTCGTAGAAAATAATATTTATTAATAATATCAATAAACTATTTTTTTTATAAAAATATCAAACTTGTTTAAGACTCTACAAAACTGTTTTCCGTTTGAAGTATAACGTCTGTCACGGATACTAATATTAAAAATGTCATAAGTCCCATTAGAATTTTGGGACCGCTAAATTCTAGTAAAATGATTTGAGAATATTTAAAATTTATTAAAATAGTTGCTACGTCTAAATTTTCAGTGCAATTCTGATTAAAACTATACTTGTAACGAATTCGGTACTCTGTCGTGTCAAAATGACATGTGCTGTGCTATACTGCAATAAAAGCTATTGATAAACTGCTCGAATATGCCGGTACCAGTTAAGAACAACGTGAAAGTATAGAATTACGGCGTTTTCCGAACACGCATAGTTACCGTACACAAGGAAAACACAATTGTAAAACAATAAAATCACTACGTCATCGTCAGGTAAAATTGTCAATATTCCTCTTAAATACGACATTGGGTGTTAGCTTCTTTATGTAAGCTATAACGTAAGAGTTCTGAATACTTTTGGACCTAACTGATACCTTTATTCATAGGATGGTGCACTTAGTGGCTATGGAAGTGCTCCCAGAAGAGCGAGACAGAAAGTATTATCAAGAGAGGTACACCTGCTGTCCCCCGCCACTCTTCATCATCTGTGTTACGCTATTAGAGGTATGATTGATCTAGAGCCACATTTTATGCTTTCTTTTTACTTGATACACGATAGATAGAATGAAGACTTAAATATTGTGACCCCATACTAAAACGTTACCTCCTCAACTGTTACTAGATATATAAATAAGAACCTACAAACCACCTATTTCCAACTTCGTATGCTAATTATATATAGACCGCCAAGTATGTAACAGACATTAAAAGTAATTATAGATAGATTTAAATACAGTCTGTAATTTACGCGAGTACTTAGTAGGTAATAGGTTGACTAATATATTTCGCGTCGCAAACCGTTAAAATGATTTTTATTAAGATATAGATCTTCTGTAATTTTTAAGAAGATATTTAGCGCCTTCAAAAGTATCCATTCGCGCTGTTAATTGATACGGCTTTGCAATTAGTATCAAATTATTTCTCAACACGAAACTGTTTAATCGGCGTTGGCGTATCTTAGCGAATTAAAAGAAAATCACTTTCAATTGGCTCAGTGACGTTTATCGTTGTTTATTTATAGGCGAATACATATTCGCCGTTAGGACGAAACTCATCACTTTCTACGCGTGCGCCGTTCGATCCCCGCTCCAGTTACGTTGGCTAATTAAAAAGTGTAATTGCGGATTTCACATCCGCACAAACAGAAGTTTACGTGAATCATAACAATCGCAGCGATGCGCGGGCGCAGACCGCGAGCCCGTCACACATTGATTCACCGCTTCGCGAAACGCACGATTCCCAATACGCTATAGATAAGAAGAACACGTAAACGTTTCTTTTAATGAATAATGCACGATACCTTAGATGCGATGCGAGAAGTTGATCTCTTTGGCATTTCTAAGACGTTCCGATATTTCCGTCGTTGAGAAGGTTAGACGTTATTGCTCGTTAAGTTACTTTCTGAAAAGTTAATTCCTGTTTTCCCTGGGTACATTGCTGTTTTTCCCTACTAATGATAATATAATAAGTAAGTTAATTTTATTCACAAACGAGGATCGATCCCTGCGAAAGTACTAGTATTTGTTTTTTTTTTCAGCTCTCTTAAACCACTTACATAAAAATTGAGCCACCGTCTTAAAATATGCCTACGATAATGTATATTATTAAAAATCTTCTGTATCAATCAAAGTGGCTTGTTTACGAGTACTGTTTAGTTCTTCTAGACGCAATGTTAAGTGGGGAGTTACGCTATGTAATCGTTTTGAATACCACATAGCGCAAGTATTCATTTCAAGAGAGTCATTAAACTGAACATTTCTAAGTTTTTGCATGCAATATAGAAATCGCGGGGCCGCTATGATACAGTTATTTCCGTTAACAATGCATATATGGTCATATTTTAACATTGAGAAGTTGTTTGAGTTACAATTACACTTTAAATATAGGGACAAACTATCTTGATTTCCTAAGTAAATATTATTTTAGGAAGAGAGATCGATGAAAAGTACCTTTATCGAGTTATTATCATATTAATTTCAGAAATATTTGAGAGCGTAGCTAAAAAAACAGCGTTACGAGGTTGTCGCTTTATCTATGGTAGAATACTATACCTATTACCCTCTAGTACTTAAACTACCAAAACCAATATTAATGATCAAAGTGTTAAACAATGTAATAAAAACACTTATAATGGTTTAAAACAAGAAAAATATCAGTTAATTTAAATAAAACACTAACGGTTTAAAATGCGATACATATTAGTTAAGCTTATTTGTGAATTATTTTTATCCACAGCCCGACATTTTATTTAAATGTGTACTAGGTACTCGCGTAAACTTCAGACAGTATAAATTAATCAGTTAATTTATTTAAAAATACAATGCGACGTTTCGGATAAATGAAAATTGAGTTAACTTTTATATTTCTCGTTTTATTTAATGTGTATCAGTCGTGTTTACTACAGACAATACTCACATAAAATGTGTACTTCATTTTGTGAGGTAATTCTAAATCCCTAAAAATAAAATGAGATTATTAATTTTGCAGTAAACGTTGTCGAGTTCTTAGATAGTTCTTTAAACGTTAAGTGCCATAATTTGATTGTAATAATTTGTAAGATGTTTAACGAACACTTTATAATTTCAGCTAGGCGTATTCGCGTGGTACGCTTGGGGCGCGGGCGGAGTGGCGGCGGCGGCTGGACCCGTGCCGGTGGACTCGCCCCTCGTGTACCGACCGGATAGACGCCGCGAACTTTGGCGCTTCCTCACTTACAGCGTTGTGCACGCAGGCTGGCTCCATCTAGCGTTCAACCTTCTTGTACAACTCGCGGTATGCATCTAAACCATTATTGATAGTAACGAACTTTGATAAGTAAAGTGCTTTAAGTTCATAACCATATAACTACAAGAATTGAATTGGGCCTGTTTCACTGTTCTATTTTATCTTTACAAGATTCGTTTTTTTATATATTTTAAACACTTTTTAATATCATAAATAGGACAAAGCACGATATTTATAGAAAAGAAGCCATTTCCGCGTAGATTTTATAGAATTATTACTACTCTCTATTTTGCACTTCATATATGGCTTCGTTGGATCAAGACTTAATCCTTAATAGTACACGCAATGACAGTATTGAAATTCGCAGTTCGTAATATTCCTAACAAATGTAACAAGTAGTAACTTAGGATTGATTATAAAAATGCTGTTATTACAGGTGGGACTACCACTGGAAATGGTGCACGGGGCGGTTCGCTGCGGAGCCGTGTATCTAGCGGGAGTGTTAGGCGGGTCCCTGGCAGCTTCGGTACTGGACCCAGACGTGTGCCTTGCGGGTGCCTCTGGTGGTGTCTACGCTTTACTTGCGGCGCACCTTGCCAACGCGCTGCTCAATTTCCATGCGATGCGATACGGCGCTGTCAGGCTGGTCGCTGCGCTGGCAGTCGCGTCTTGTGACGTCGGATTTGCTGTACACGCTAGATATACTAAAGTACGTATACTTGGTAATATATATTAGTTAAACTTATTTGGAGATTATTTTAACTACGGCCCGACGTTAGGGATGTTTTGCAGCGGCCGTGGGCACGGGAGCCTCCGCCAAGTGTTAACGTGATTTATTTAAATGTGTACTACTCGCGTAGACTAGAGACATTATAATGACATTAATGTTTTTAGCCTTTTTACTTGATCAAAGATTATACAATCGCTTTTTATCAATATACTATCACAGCATTCCTAAATGTCTCAAACGCCTTTTTATTCCAAAAACCCACTTCAATGTCTCACTAATCGGGCTCACCCGAATAATAACTATGAATTCAAATACTTTTTTCACTTCATTTCTCAGAAGAATTTTCATTCATTTCATTTTCTCTTCGATCTCTCTAATATTTAGTAGTATATCCGTTTTTAATTTTCAATTGCTGTTTGTAGGAAGCGCCGCCGGTGTCATACGCGGCTCACGTGGCGGGGGCACTCGCTGGGCTCACAATCGGCCTACTGGTGTTGAAGCACGCACAGCAGCGCCTCTGGGAGCGATTACTGTGGTGGGCGGCTCTCGGCGCGTACGCGGCGTGCACTCTCTTCGCCGTCCTCTACAACATCTTCAGTGGACCTGTCGACGAGCTTCACTATATGCCACCCGACCCACCGCCTGACGTCGCCGGATTCTGATCAGTCAATCTTCCTTAGGCTTTTATCATCTATCTTCTCAGACCAACCGACCAGTGGACAATGTTAATGCGAAAGTTTCCCACATATAGTCTAAAGTCTGCATAACTGACACTCTATCAGAAAAAGTTTGAAACCAATAAGTATATATTACCTACACAAGATCTTGCACACTCTATTAAGAATTACAAACAATATTTCTTCTTTTTATGTAATCGTACTTTGCTGTATGTTTTTGTTCATATATACATCCGATCAAATGAGGTGAACATCTTAGTGAGTTCTTATACAAAAATTCATTTTCCAAAACTTCCTGTCTATTGAAAAAGGGTGTAATGCTATATAGAGCGTATGTTCTCTATGGCTGGCTAATTAAAAGTCGAGAAAATAAATGATAGTTGATTAAACATAAATTCGTTGTACAGTGTCCACTGGGAGGTTAGTCTGCGATGTAAATACTCTACTGTACTGTGTTCTGGAGATGTTAAAACAAAACTATTTAGAAAATACCTTATAAAGATTGATGTTACAGTAGGCGTTACATAATATGCGACTCGGATCTTTAAAAAAATTATATCTTACATACGGGCGTTAAATTGTGTAGCGAAAACTGTTCTACTATTTATACATCAAAGTCTTTCTAACAAATATAACCAAAGTAAAATAATCTCTTTTATGACCCAAAAGAGATAAAGTGCATTCTTGTAAGTGAATAATAACTCCAAGTAAGCCTATAACTTACATCGTGTGAAATTTTGATCATCTCCAGAACGCATATACTAAAGCCTACAGTTAGTCACGATATCGGCGTGACCGACTCACAACACACCTAGTCAATTTACCTTAGTGTGATACACGTTAAGAAATGAGGGAGGCTTCTGTCCAGTGCCTAATATCGCATCCCGTTGTCCGTCAATTAGTTAGGCCCTTGTCTCCTATAAATGCCGTCGATTGCGTACAATGTCAAGCGTTACACCGCTTACACTGCTTATATACAGAAATATCTCTTTACCTCGTCGCTAACCATGAGTTAGCAAGTTAAAGCACCTTTCTTTGTTCCGAAATGCGAAGTAACGCGTTACGATGTAGGCGGTTCGCGACGTTCCTAGGAGCAGAGCGTTATTGTTCTTGCAGTTGCAAGTTTTAATTGTTGAGCTATAGTTATATAGTAATTTGCACAGTTTCCCTTTTAAAGCCCCCTCGCAATACTTAAGTGTTAAGTAGTCTTAATTATATTTGATAGGTGAACTATTTTTGTACCTACTGTCAGCGTTTGTAGTATTAAGCTGCGGGGTTACCGCAACACAACATGTCCCCCGTGTGGACTGGCGGAGCTTTATTCGGAGCCAACCGGTCATTAATAATATTCCTAATAAGAACATCTAGCCGGCGTCAGTATTGTTATGCCCAACACACCAAAGATTAGAATAAAATGGCCTCACTTTCAGTGGAGGTTCACGTCTGCTAATCGTCCGATTAATTGCTCAGGAAAGGATAGTAATGTTTGCTACATATTGTTTTAATGTGCTCAATTGCAGTTTTGTTTTTAATAATTATGCTCAATGTGAGTTTTTTGTGGATCTACTTTGCTGATATTCTCAAATTATGAATGAGAGCAGACAACTGAGCAAATATGAGACAGTTAAATGAGAATAAATTTCTCATTCGAGATGATAGCGATTTCATCCGCTCAGTAGAGTATAAAGTACCTGTGCGGTATGCTTCTAGCATAATATCTTGCTATCAACAAGTACATAGATTACTTTAAAATGTGCCTGATTCCTATTATTGTAAATTGATTGTATAGTTTTAATTGTAATCAAATATTGTCAGAAACCGACTGATTTTTTTGTGTAATAATTTACAGAATGTTTTCAATTAATTTATTTTAAAATTATTTTAAGTGTGAATTGAAATAATTCTAATTATGTGATTATATAAAAGTAAGAATGCATCTAATAAAAAAATGATTGATGAAAGAGTTATGTTCATTTTTATTTGTTGCCTAAAAACAGCTTATTTAGCAGTTATTACTTGTTACATAGTACGGAACTATATAATTTAAAAATCGAAAATAAATTGAAAAATTTTTTTCCCCCGGGGGGGGGGTTGCCGCCGGCCCGCGCCCTTTCCGGGGGGTGTGTTTTCCCCCTTGGGGGGGGGGGCCCCCCCCCCCCCCCCCCCCTTTTTTTCTTTTTTTTTTTTTTTCCCCCCCCCCGCGTTTTTTTTTTTTTTTTTTTTTTTTTTTTTTTTTTTTTTTTTTTTTTTTTTTCATTTTATTGAACGAGTTATATAAAAAATTATGTTTTCATGTGGAAGTTTTTATGACGTTAAAATTACATTACTTCTTACCAATAGCAAAGGTAGATCATAAGAAAATTAATAACTACCTTCACAATGAATGAGGTTTTTTAATAAGGTCACATTTCTAGCTTTATAATACCAGTGAAAAGGAAAAGTAGACTAAAAGTAATGTGTTATAACAAAAGTGCTAACATGTGTAAGAGAAACAACGAATATTAAATTGCTAAATTTATTTAAACACAATATAAAAATATCATCCAGACAACTCAAAATAAAATATAAAAACTTAATTTATACTTAACAATTTGAACAGTGTTGTGTATTAAATATTTCCCAAGCACTATTAACTATTTTTCAAATAACCTCCATACGTCCATACAAACAGATTTGCTAAATTAATTGAGTTTGTAATACGAAATTCTCTAACATCTTAATAATACTGCAAAGACCCGCGCCTTTAATAACAATTCAGTGAAGCAATACACGCTAATCTATTTTATTTAGTGTCATACAAATGCTATCACTATGTAATCTTTACTACTCAGTAAAGGTTACATAGAAATTGGTACTCACCAATAAAGTTATCGGGCTGTAAGTGTTTCTAAAGCATAAAACCCAACTAGAAGTAAGTCCTGAAAAGTCCAACTGTCGCTTGCACCCAGAGGGGCACTTGTCGACCTTGCAAATTACAGCTGCACTCCGACGCATAACTGTGTAGTCTCGCACATTCGTCGTGAAGACGCCTCTACAAAATCATTTTGAATATAAATAACCCAGTTTATTTAGCAGTATATTGTAATCTCCTGTTACTGACAATATACTTGTATATATATTACTAACTGATATATGTTATAAACTTTTTTTTGCAATTCATTTAGAAGCAGCATTAATCTAAACTGAATACTATACTATTCATACTATTCTTTGTTATAAGAATACAATCTTACTTGCAAATCTGGTGATGACGTAAATATCGCAGCTTGTGCTTCCAAATCTCTCTTCACACTACGTTCACCAAGGTTTGCAGAACCCACCACTGTTAACCATGGAACATCATTTCCAGCTGGGTAATACCTGTGCATTGAAAGTTATTACCATTATAAATATAATGATACATTAATATTGTAACTATATTCATACTAAAACTTGCTTTAAAGTCTGTTTGTTGGTGATGGAAAACTGATAAAAGAGATAGCTAAAAAATAGATTATATTATGTAAATAAAACAACTAACCATAATCCCTTAGCATGAAAAGTCCACCCTGGGCGTTCATATTCCAGCATCTGAACTCGGCTTTTTTGATTGTATTCAATTACTTGCTGCCAAAATCTGAAATAAGGAAAACTTAAAAAATATTGGAACCTGAAATTGCTATAAATAAAGAAACTTTAATGATTGTAACTTCAAAGCAACTTACTCTCTTGCTATTAAAGAATATGCATGAGGAATACCACCGGCTGGACCAGCAGCACCCATAAATCCATTTGCCTAAAATAAGAATGACATTTGTACATTAATGGGAATTCAGTACAACTATTGTACATAAATATTTTGAAAGTCATTTTTTAATAAATAGCTACATATATGTATATATAAATAGTTACAGTTTGCTATGTATACATACATTGGGATGTGCCATCAATAAGCTAATATTAGATTTGCAAAGTTGTAGCAATGTTTTTGAATATGTTTCTGTTAAATTGAAATATCCAGTGGCAAGTCTTATATAACCACCTCTTGGAGCTGTCTTGAGGATGGAACAAGTGACATGTTCATCTTGCTTTATGCCAAATTCACCCATTTGTATTAATGGAAAAATCCATGTATCTTTTTCGTCTGCTATAAAAAAATATATGAGGTTACTATGAGATACACATATGTTTAATAAAAAATTAAAATAAAAGGTTACCATTTTGTAAAGATAACTTTGTATTTTGCTGTTCCCTCCACTTGTTTATTAAATCATTGACATTGTTGTTAAGACTCTTGATCATTACTTCTTTTGGCAAAGTATGTGAATAATCATTGTGCTCATTCATACTAAACTTAGTAACCTCATCTGCAAAATTAAAACAAATAATGTCATGTACAAAGCTAGTACAATTTTGTAGCAAACTATGAATAATAAAATCAAATATTAACTTACTATTCTCCTACCTATTAGCTCACAATAAAAATCGGCAAGATCTGAGTCATCTATTTCAATGTAACGATCTTGTCTTTTTTGGAAATAATCATTTGAACAATTAGCGCCACTCAATATTACTGTGTCATCTGATATATATAACTTCATGTGCTGAAGACCGACTATCTCATTATACCGAGATGGAAGTGCCTTTGACCAGTTGCCCTGTAGCCGTGGGGTTTGGTACAATGCTAAACTACATTTATTATTTAGGCCTCTCGAAAACTGCTCGAATAACGTTTTCGAATTAATTTTGCCGCGAGTTCCTCTTTGATAATCTAGTAGAATATTAAAACTAAGCTTCTCCACCTTCATTACATTATCAATTGTTGCTCGAATTAGCTTGTTTTCAAGTTCGCCTGTTCCAATATAAAGACTAGCTATTGATACTCTTCGTTTTGCACGACGAAATCTTTCGTACAAAGTGTCATAAAACTGTTTAGGATCTGTTATTATATTAACTTTGGAAGCACATATAGGAAAACATGGTGATGCATTAAAAATCCAATTAAAGGATTGCAACTCTGGGGGCTTGAATCGCATTGTCATTATTAGATAGAAAATATTATTTAAAGTTTATTCATTTATTTATGTAGTTTCTGACATACACGGCGTCGCCTAAAATTTGGTGTTCACTATGTGTGAATAATACATGTATAGTAAATTTTAAATATTATTTTATAACATTAAGACTACGTGTATTTGAAAAGGTTATAATTTTCTAGTTTTGTTTATTATTATTATTTACAATGTAATTTATGACAGTGATCGGGGTGACAGATAATTGTCCTATATATCAACAGATTAAGTATAGTGGATTATGTTAAGTCACAGATCTTTTGAAACTGAAATAATGTATACAGTAACCACATACTTAATAAAGAGCGTGAATTACACGCGCTTTTTTAAAGGAGGATACAAAAGAATGGAAACCCAACCAAAAACAGGACGACACTGTTATGATTTTCAATTTTCAAAAATGAAAATGACTGGTGTAGAATGTAGATCGGCATTCTGATACATCTCTACCATCAAACTGCATATTAATCTGTGGATAATAACAAGTTCCGGTTAGTTTTAAAATCTAACAGCATAAAACCGCGAAGAATTCTAAGATAACAGTTATCATAGTTATTTTTACTTATCAAGTATTTTGTTTGACTAAAAAATACAAAATACTATAGAGTGTATTGTAAAGGAAATACAATACACATTCACCATTGCATTTCTTCTTAAGAAACACAGGTCTGATTGATTAAAAATAAATAACTTATTTCAACAATTCATATATACAAATATTGTTACTATGATAAGTTTCATATCTTATGCAAATGTATTGTGCACTATAAAATGCACTGGTAGTTAGCTCTTATCTTTGGCTGTCAATGAACGTATGAAAACTGAAAATAGATAAGATCGGTCATCTTTAAAAGCGGAAAAGTAATAAAGGGAATAGAGGGATTGTAATACATTATTTATTGCCAACCATCTGAAAATAATAACAATTTAACGTGCTTTTTAAGGAAAAATGCATCCGGTTATTATTGTACATGGCGGGGCAGGAGACATACCAGATAGCCGTGTTCAAGGAAAGCTAGATGGAGTAAAAGCAGCTGTGTTGACAGGAAACAAAATATTGCAGCAAGGAGGGTCTGCTCTAGATGCTGTCGAAGCAGCTGTAATTTCAATGGAAAATGACGAATATTTCAATGCAGGTGATTCTTATATTATAGATCTTAGTTGGTTATGTTTGTTTTAAACTTTGTTATAGATCAGTGCCTATGTTAACTATTGTTTATTTGTTATGAGCTGTGGCTATATTAACTAATTGCTGGTTTGAGTAGTTTTAGAATTATTTTGATCAGGTTGAGTACATACAGCAACTACATTTTTGTAAAAAGAAATCATTTACAACTTTCTAATTCCAGGCTATGGATCAGTTTTAAACTTATGCGGAGAAGTAGAAATGGAAGCAAGTATTATGTGTGGAAAAAACCTAGATGTTGGTGCAGTTACATTAATAAAAGAATTTGAACACCCGATTAGTATTGCGCATAAAGTTCTCACTGATTCGCCCCATTCTTTATTAGGTGGAGAGGGAGCTAAATTATTTGCAATACAGAAAGTATGTTTCTTCAAAAAATATTTTTGTAACACATGAATTTATATTTTACTTAGAACTTCTTATATTTTTCTTTTGGCCTAGGGTTTTGCAACTGTACCACCGGATTCATTAATAAGTGATAATGCTAAACATGCACTGGAAGAATTTCTAAAACACAGAGAATTTGGTAGAACAGAAATTGGTGTAAAAGATGAGGTAAGGTTTGAAAAGGTTTTTTAATGATAATAATAATTTTTATTATTTACTCACATTCATAGGGTGGAGTTGGTACTGTTGGAGCTGTAGCAATAGATTCTAAGGGAAATGTGGCTGTCGCTACAAGCACAGGGGGAATGAGTGGAAAAGCTGTGGGTCGTATTGGAGATACTCCCCAAATTGGAAGTGGAACATATGCAGATAATCATATTGGCGGTGTTTCTACAACAGGTAATTCATCCATAACCACTTAAAATGTTAAATTAATTTCTTCAACTTTATGCCTGTTTGACTATCAGAATCAAAATTTTTACAGCTTCTATAAATAATAATAAAAATTTACTTTTAGGTCATGGCGAATCCATATTGAAATACTGTTTGGCACACAGCATTATCAAACTGATAGAGCGCGGAAGTACTGCAAAAAATGCAACTGAGGTAGCTGTTAATGGTAAGATATATTTATTAGTATGATCAGCTATCACCAAAGCTGTACATACAAAAAATTTATTTGTCCAATATTTACGTCTGCTGGTGGCAACCATTTCTATATCTCGCATTAAGTCATTCTTTTGAAATGTTATTTTCACAGACATAATAGTTATAATAAGATAAAAAGATATTTGTTTACTATATTTTAGTACGCTTTAAGAAAAGGTATTATTAGTATTGCAGACAACTAATTTGCATTTTGCTTGCCCGTGATATCAATATTTTTTTATTAATTACAGCTATGACTAGCCGTCTCAACAATACGGCAGGCGCTATAACACTCTCTGCTACAGGAGATGTTGGAATCAATTTCAGCTCGAAAAGAATGGCATGGGCATTCATTAAAGAGGCAAAACTTTTGTATGGAATTGAAAGAGATCAAATTTTTGAGGCTTAAATATTAAATTTTCTAAGGCTGACTATTGCCACTTATAAATTAATATTCAAATGTACCTATAATAAAAGAAATTAAGATGTTATATTTCTGTATGATAATTAAAAATAAATAATACTAAGATATTTATTATTATTTACTTATTTAAGTCATATTTTCATAATTAAAATCTGTAAGTACAGTCAAATATTTTGTTACTTCATATTCATAGTTACATCATAGATTAGCTACATTGATCATGATGCTGTATAATTAACGAAAATTTATTGAAATTATCTATGACTAGAATTTGGTGTGCTAGGACAAAATGTTATATCAATGTCAAATATGACAGCCGCTTCGAGGGTAATGTGACATAATATACCTAACTCTCGATCTTGTTACCAATTTTAATGAATAAATTAAAAATGGTGGCTATATACACGATTTAGGAATTGATATTAAATACGAAGTTTGTGTTATTTCTAAGGAGGATCGATGAAATATGTGTGATGTCTAGTTAGTCAAAAAATATAATGTCGACTCCAGTCTCTAATCGTAAATATGGAGCTCAAAAAATTCGCCTTACTAGTAAGTGATCACACCTTTCACCAATCGTGTTTTTAAACTCCAAACCTTTACTTCCCTTACGTGTTTCTTTAATTAAATTTTTCATTTTTAGTTCTGTGTGCCAGAAACCTTGTTCGGAGGGATTTATTTCGTAAGTCATAAATATCTATATTATTTTCTTGCAATAGTCACGAAGTAAACAATATACCTAGACAAACTTTACAAACCTTGATTGTGCAACTCCCAGGATACTTGAAACACACACCATTATGAATCGTAATATACATTATAGACGATGTGTCGTGCCTAATGCATACCTTGATTACTTGTAAATAGATTTATTAAATTTTTAAGCCAAAGAGTAAAGATACCATTTGAAGGAACTTTTTTTTAACATCAATATCTCTTAGTTTATTGTTTGTTTTCATATCCATGGTAAAATTACTATTACTACTTTCAGTATGTATGATTTAGTGTAGGAGGTAGTAATATATTCCTTTATTAATGTATTGTATTTCAAATTATGTGGGTATATAGAAAAGGTAGTTTTGAAATAATTTTAAAATCATAGTCTTTATGTCCTGCTTGTTTGATCACTAATAAAACTAATCTACATAAACAAATTTAATATACTACTTAATGATACTTTTACTGGGGAAAATAAGAAGACAGTTAACTGTCTACAAATATGTTGTAGTTCCTAGATTTTTTGCATACAATGAGTAATTATATTTTATATTCTAAAAATAGGATTGCCTGACCCTTTTGCAAAAATTTCTGTGGATGGAAGTGGCCAAGTCTACTCAACAAATGCAGTAAAAGCTACTTTAGATCCCAAATGGAATACACATTATGATTTATATTTAACAAAAGGAGATGGAATAACTATTAGGTGAGTACATTTAGATGGTTTATGCCTTAATCCAAGAAAACTTAAGGTAAAATATTAACTGCTGAATGCTGTGCTGTTTCAGCATTTGGAATCAGCGTAAAGTTCACAAGAGACAAGGATCTGGTTTCTTAGGTTGTGTTAGAATTCAGCCATCAACTGTGCATAAATTAAAAGACACCGGTTGTAAGTATTTTAATTATATCTATACAATTATTTTGCATACATTTGTTTATATAATTGAACTAATGTACATATGTTTAAAGTTTTTATTTATTTATTTATTATTGCTTTATTATTTATAAAACTTACCACAGAAAATACTCATAAATGAGGAAAAATCTTAAGTGCTAGGTTTTTAGTTTAAGTAATACAATTTTTCTCATAATAATAAATTAATGCTACTTTAATTTAGTGCATTTATTAAGAATAATATGAGATTTAAAAGACTTAATCAAATCTTTGATGAAAGTGTAAGCACTGTCAAGAAAAAAGGGAGTCTGATCTAAATAACTCTGGAAGTCAGCTATAGAAGGAGTAGTAGCCAGTTTCTTGCTTGCTCTTTTGGTTCTCATTATAATTTATATAATGCAAAATAAAAACAATAAGATTCCCCACATTTTCCTCCTTTAATTTTTTTACTTAATATGTATAATTGTATTGAAGTACTATGTATTTATTATGTGACTATTGTAACTGTCATACAAATTATTTTTATAGATCAATGCCTAGAATTATGTGAGGATAGCTCGGGTGAGGCTTGTGGAGTGAAAGGCCAGGTTATTGTTTCTTTATTATCAAGAGATGGTACAAGAGGAGAACCAGCCTCTGTTACTGGTGAGGGATCACCACTAGCTGTAGTTGGACCAGCAGGTGAAGTCAGGGCACCTCGTGAACCACCTGTTAATAATGTTACAAATTTACCATTACCACAGCATTGGGAAGAACGGTTCACACCAAGTGGAAGGTATAGATTTCTCATACTGTTTATTAAATACATAATTGGCAAATTTTTGGCAATGAAAAAAAAAATTTTCCCAAATTTTAAAAAAAAAAGTTTTAAATATATGTCAATGTTTTCTCTCTAACCTTAAACTGATATATATGAAGAAATACTTATTGACATGACATATTATGGCCATTATCTTAAACAATACAATATATCTTTAAACTGTTTTGAATTTTTTTAGAAGATTTTTATTTTGAGACTAAAATGGATCAATTTTAACTAAAATTTATCGCGTTTTAAACCGATAAAGTGTTTTGTTTAAGTAAATATGAATTACCTATACCAGAATTAAAAACTCAACATTTTAAACTGGAGTTAAAAGTGTTTTATTTAACGTACTCGCGTAATACTACAGACAGTATTTAAGCAATTCATAATTAATATTTAAGAAATACCTTACCTATGTAATATTTCTACTAAATTTACTTAATGTAATCAGTTATATATGGTATTTTAATTATATTTATATAATAACAACAGTAATAATGCATTTGTATAAACATAACATGTAAAAATAGTAATGTCTTCCAGGCCATACTACGTGAACCACGCATTGAGACGCACACAATGGGAGCGTCCAAGCGCAGATACATCCTCTCCGACTAGTCCACAACCTTCTCCACCACCCGGATCACCATCTCCCGCACCCTTGAGTCCAGCTTCACCAGTCTCGCCCCTCTCTCTTGTTTCGCCGTCATCACCAATATCAGAAGCTGATGTTAACCAGGGAAATTCCATTTCATTGCGGTAATAAACTTTCTTAACGCACATTATTGTTCAAAGACAAACTTTTTTAATACACAATATCTTCTATAAATACTACGTAAAACTGAGATATGTACGAAAAATAATGTTGTTACGGTATGTGCCGTTGACAGCAAGAGATGATTTAAAATGTATATATGTGGCATATTTTCTCTAGGCCGGAACCTCAGCCACAAACAGCTGTTCGAACGCGTGCAGTACCATCGCAGTCTACGCCCTCATCTTCCAATCCAGTTCCTACACCTGTAGCTGCAACCGACTTACCGTCAGGATTTGGTAAGCTACAATTTAAATAATATTTTATTCTTTACCAAGCATTTGCCAATGTTATTTCTATTTATATTTATTCTTTCTCTTTTTTTCATCCATTTCTTTTTTACTTTTTTTTATAATACCTAAATAATATTTTTTATAGAGAAATAATTGGTAAAATAAAATTAATATTCTTACTATATATTCATATTTTTTTTTGTTATAATCATATAAGTAGTCATTGTACATATTGGTGAACCCTCCAGGAAAAATATATACTCATCTTAGAAATCCAAAACCTTTCTCTTTCTTTACAAACACCAATACGTTTTTACCCCTACTTGTATCCTACCTTGTTTTTATTAACCTTGCTTTATTCTTTTGTAAGTCCATCTCTGCAATTAGTTGTAGCTTGTAAGTTGTTTCACCTCATATACTTATTTGAGGGAAGCCTTCTTCACTTTTGTACCAACAACTATGCCACCTAAAGACACGATCTCTTTGACGTCCCGAGAGGTCCACCTCTCTCGCCTTTTCGCCGATACCACAATTTTAACCTCACTCAACCTCTCCTCAATTAAGACCCAAATGTGATCTTTTCCAATACTTTCAATACTAGAGAATTGTCTGATTTTTAAATTTTGTCCTAATTATTGATGCATACTCTATTGTTAAGTGTAATTCTATTGTGTACTTCTATCCAATTAATGTAAGTGGCTATCGCCGTTTTAATTGTCTTTATAATAAATAAATAAATAAAATAAATAAATAAATATCTATAATAGTAGTAATTGGTACATAATAATAACGAGTACTTAGAACAAACAAGACCAAATCCGACTTACAAGTTTTTGGAGCAAAATCCACCAATACTTTTGCCTAATATTCGGCTATTGAGGTCGCCGAATATTCGGTATTCGGTATACTGCGAATATACTATTCGTTGCAAGTCAATTTCTATATCTAAAATAAAAATAAATAAATATGAACGATTTCAGAGATGAGGACAACAAATCAAGGGCAAGTTTACTTCTACAATAACATAACGGGAACATCTACGTGGCACGACCCACGAGTGCCGCAGCATTTACGTCACTGCGCGGCAGCTGCAGGCCCGCTGCCTCCCGGCTGGGAGATGCGACACGCGCCCTCTGGAAGGCCATACTTTGTGGACCACAATAAGCGGACTACGCAGTTTACTGACCCACGTCTTGCTCTCTCCGCTAGACTAGTAAGGCTTATTTAAACAGGAAAAAGTGAAATCCCATATCCTCCTATGGAGCACGGGGTGGACACATTTCTTTGTCTGTTTGAATCCAGTTTCTTTACTGGCAAGTAGTTGATCAGACTTCTGTGCCCTGCCTTACTGCAACATTTTTTTTATTTTCTTAGGATTCGAACTCGGCACCTCACAATTTATTATAGATTGCATTAAAAGTTGTTTAAGATGGTTTTATTTAACAACATCTACATAAAGAGATAAAATCACTCTTCAGTTCGGGCTTAGTTAACTCTCACTACTACGGATGCAATTTTTTATCATGCATTATTAATGTTATGTGTGCATTTTTTAATACGTATTTTTCTAACATTAGACGCCGCCTTTAGAGTCGAACCCCACACCTAATTCAGCGCCTGCTCCGCCTCCAACGAACGGTGCAAGCGAACCAGCAGACGCGGATGCGCTACCCAAGTACAAACGGGACCTCGCAGCTAAAGCGAGGGTCTTGAGAGCGGAATTACAAGCTCTCCAACCGCAAACTGGACATTGTCGTATTGAGGTAATTTCCATTAAAACATTTACATTACTTTTGCCTCATAACTAAGATGAAAGTAATATTATACAATTTATAGATAGTGAAAAATCTTGACACTCTTTAAGTCAAACTCCAGTTTTCTGTAACAAACGAAAAAAGGTGAATAATATTTTTTTAAGGACAGATTGTCTTCTATTATTTTCTATATACTGTAAACTGGGTACATAGTTCATCGGGGGCTTATTCTTTGTCCTTACATAAAAATCTTGCAGTAAATTTTATTTCAGACCCTTTAAATTTAATTCAACTCGTTTTGACATATCTACTTATCTCATATATAGTATTACATAGCTACTAAAATAAATAATTCATATTGATTAAATTATTATTACAGGTTTCACGTAACGAAGTACTGGAAGAGTCGTACCGTCTTGTGATGAAACTGCGCGGCAAGGAACTGCGCAAGCGGCTACTGGTGAAGTTCCGCGGCGAGGAAGGGCTGGACTACGGTGGTGTTGCTCGGGAATGGCTCCATTTATTGGGGCGGGAGCTGTTTAACCCACAGTATGGACTGTTTCAATATGCCAATGCCGGAGATGACCGCTACTCGCTCCAGATCAACGCAGATTCCGGGGTGTGTTTTTTAATTTGTCTCTTTACTTTTAAAAACTTCCATATTTTTCAGAATTGATTGCACATGATGGCACTATAAATAGAAAAAAAGAAACAAAATAAGTTATAAATTGAACAAAATTACGACACTTGCAGGACTTGAACCAGCATCCAAAGCGTTACGTGCTGTTGCTATGGAATCTTTTCTACCTATTGCATGCAAAATCAATTATTTTCTTAAGCTGCGAAGCATAAGACATTGAAAAATAAGCAAGTGTTAAGGTTTGAAAACATTAATATTTCTCACATGTTATTGCACATGAAGGCACTATATATATTTTGTTGCTCCGCGCAACAGCACGAAAAAGCGACGATGCAGGTTCAAGCCCCAAAAAAATTTTAATTTATTTTGATTTTTAAATTAAGTATTAAGGTTGTTAACATAGCGCGACGAAAACCCCCCCTATCATGTAGGAAACGGTAGCTCAAAAGATTCGACAGAGACACGGTAGCCCAAATAAAAAAAGCAACAACACGGAACGCGGTCGATGCCGGTTCAAGTACTGGTCGTGTCGTACATTTTTTCAATTGTCTTGTTGCTTGTATGTAGATAACAGACCCATAAATGTTTTCTTATTGAAATTGTTGTTGCACAAGACAAGAATTTGTTCTACACCTTATGGTGATATCACTATATTTCTATGATTTAAGCGTGTAAAATATAATTGACTTCATTATAGATTGCCAGGCAATGTACAACATGTATATTAATGTCACCAGGTGAACCCGGAGCACTTGTCTTACTTCCACTTTGCTGGTCGAATCCTCGGCGTAGCGCTATTCCACGGTCATCAGCTGGACGCCGCTTTCACTGCGCCATTTTATAAACAACTTCTAGGCCGTCCTATAACACTGAGAGATATAAGGGATGTCGATCCAGAACTTCATCGCTCACTTTCTTGGATGCTGTGAGAATTTTATAATTACATCATTGAGATAATTATTTACACTTTAGTTGTAATTAAAAAATTTAGTTAAATACTTTTTCTGTGAGTTTACTGGACGGAATTGAAAAATTCATTAAGTTATAAACTTTATTAAAGATATTTAGTAGTAGTACTTAAACTTGTAGTGGTTTTTGTCTACTTTAAGACAAAAAAGAAAGAGATTAAACTTGGTTAAAAATTACTGACCCTGTAAGGTAGTGACAGTTACTTATCCTTCAGTAAATAAATATTTTAAAACTGACCTGTCATACTTTCAGAGAGAACAGCATTGCTGGCATAATAGATACAACATTTGCTGTGGAATGTTCATCCTTTGGTGCGGTGCGGAGCGTGGAGTTGCGACCCGGAGGAACCAACGAGCCAGTAACAGATAACAACAAGCGGGACTACGTGCGTTTGTACGTCGCGCACCGCTTCACCCGCGGCGCCGAAAGACAGTGGTTAGCCCTACAACGGGGTCTCGCAGACATTATTCCACCACAACTCCTGAGGCCACTCTCGCCCAGAGACCTCCAGCCCTTGCTTGCGGGCCGCGCAGACCTCGACCCGGCCGATTGGAAACGACATACCCGCCTCAAACACGTGAATCCCGACGCACCTATTGTAAATTGGTTCTGGGAGATCGTGGAAGACTTTGACGCTGAAATGCGAGCCAGGCTACTTCAGTTTGTTACTGGTTCTCGGCGGGTCCCTCTAGCTGGGTTCAGAGCGCTGCAAGGTTCGACCGGAGCGGCTGCTCCGAGACTCTTTACCCTGCACCTAGTTGCTGACGCATCTCCGGATTCTCTTCCTAAAGCGCACACTTGCTTCAATCGACTCGATCTTCCTCCATACCCGACTAAGGAGAAACTGCACGACAAACTCACACAGGCTGTCCTCGAAACTGCCGGCTTTGCTGTTGAATAATCACAATGCATTCACTTAGGCTGCTCCTATAAACGCGGTAGGTTGTTTCCAGCATCATGCGTTACTTAGCCTAATACATAACAACGTCAGTTAAAAAATATTTCGCTAAAATAGTCTTAGTTTAAATATATCAGTAAGCTGCGTAACGCATGACGTTGTACGTGACCTGTAACGCCACAGCCTAAAAAACATTATTTACATTCAATTGGAGATAGAAATTTATTTACATTCATGAGACTGACATGTCAAATTTTTATTAGATGTTTCCAAATTCAGGGTTAGTATTTCTGTGTTCACCACTTGTAGAACCAATGTCTTTAAAATTGCAGATATTTAACAAAGTTGAGAATCTGAGTTCTTCCATTAACTAAGGAAATATCAAATCTTGTACAGCCCAAAACAACTTTGGTGACAATGTTACTTAGGTTATTATTTATTTGAATTAGCATAATATTGTTTCAACTGCTTTTTAACGAATTCAATTTAAATCAAATCAACGCAATATCTTATGCACAATTAAAACGTATTCTATACATGCTCAAATAATATAATACATTCATTGATAGTTATAAGAATCTATTTTTACCTTTTATTTATAGGAATCAATTACATATTTACCCGAATTAATGATCTATAATTGTTCTACATTAAAAAAGGACTAACTTCTAATGATAAAAGATATTGGTACAAAAGTTAACACAATGACAAATTACTTATAAATAATGTTAACAAATCTGTGTATTACAATCAAACGCCAATAAGGAAATTAAGTTAATATTAGTTATGTGAAACTAAATAAAAAAATATTGAAAATTGATTGATTGCAATAGTAATTTTTGTTGTTTACTAAGTGATGTGTTATATTTTAGTGTGTATAAGATTATTATTGGGTTTTATAATAATGTAAATAATGTATTTTTTAGTACAAAGCCCAGACAATATACCTGTTATATTCAGTCAAATTCAAAGCGTAGAAGCTTCAGGTGCCTTACGGTTTTTGTATAGTTATCATTTGTATCACATAATGAAGTTATTCCACTTTTTATTATTAATTAATATCATTTTAAGCGTTCTTTTACTATTTAATAAATGTGCGTGGGCTATGAGTGAATGCTACTGACATTATTGCTTTTGATAGTATTCGTAACAAGGATCAGTGCCTTTATGATTTAATATTACCACCACCCTATTAATAAAAATTGTTCATGGTTTACATGTCAATTGTGATGGTATATAAATTCACACAATCATTATATTGCAAGTTTTATTAATAAGGTTATATGATTATTGTTAGTGATAAATGTATTGTATGACTGTTAGTGATATGAAATGATATAATAGATAGTATGAAATAGTTAAAAGGAAAATATAATATTTTTGCACAACACTTGCAGAATTTTTGTTTATGATCCATTTCTTGTTTCAGTATATTGTATTCATTCAATCTATACTAATATATAAAGCCGAAGAGTTTGGAAAAGTGATGTGTAGTATAAAAAAATGATCCGCGACGCTATATGTCTATCTTTTAAGCTTTATTAGCTTGCAAGAACGTCGGGAAGGGACGCCATCGACCTCGTGGCTAACAGCTTAAGTTTATCAAGATGACGGACCTAATTTGCATGCCCAAAATAACGATTCTCGCGAACGAAGTAGCTGGCACAGCTAGTACCAAATAAAGCTGCATAATAATGGCGACTCTATCAACTACAACAAAGTAAAAGTTCTCATGAAATCTTATAATCTATTGATTATCGTTATGAAATATTTAAAGATTACTAAAACTATAAATGCGATGGGATTATGTAATATTTTTTGTATCTCTTGCCTAAAAGGATTTAACGATTTCGATGATATCTGGGTGGCATTGCAGTTTCAAGGAAGGACATTAAAAATAAAAAAGCTGAAATTATTGTACGCCATAGATTATAATATGTTGAAGTGACAGTCCCTATTCTATTCAATTACTCAACTCGGTTACTCGGAGGTGAAAATGTTGTCATTTTGTCACACTGTGTTGGCTTTGTAAATTGTCATACTCTGACATTTCGGTTAGTTAACAATTATTGCCTACTTGCTTCAGTTTTAAAGTTGAATGTGACGCCGTGAATATAATTGTACACTCACCTTGTAAATGTATCTTTGTTAAGTAAAAAGCACAAAAACAATACTTTTATTAGTCGCAACTGCTTGTTACGACTCTTGAAAAATATTCGAGTCATCGGCATTGAGTGACAGTATTTGCTGGGACTAAGTTATTTATAATCGAGAACTCTTCTTTGTGATGTATGTGATATAGTGAAGTGTTAATATTTACGTTTTGTATAGAAAAAGTAGCCATCATGCCGACTAGTGCCGTTTACCAACCTACAACAGTAACATACGAACAGCAACCTACGGATCAGCGCTGGAACTGTCCAATCAGTTACTTCTCAAGAAGAGTGACTAGTAGTCTGAACCGGGCTGTGTGTATAAGGATCGCTTTGTGCCTTTTGGGTAGCACACTCTTTATTATTGGTAAGGAATTATAAAATAATATATGGGAATCTAATAGGAATGCTACGTCAAAATTTAAGCTATTCTTTTGTATATTAAGTATATTCAAGTCATAACAGCGGTAATCACTGTAACAAATGATAATTTATAAGTTGTCTTGTCATATAATGTATTTACTATAGTTATTTAAAAGAATAAGTATCACTTGCTATTATCTAATTTGTCATCTGCAATTGTAATATTATAATGTTAGTACATTAACTTAATGTTCCATTACCCTTCACTCCTAATGACATTTTGTCAATTGACTGAAATGCAATAGATTCATTTAATCATTCTAAATGAGAAGTAGAATGATTAGTTTTAAGTGCTGTCTCTAGTTTTCGCGCGGGGGGACCCCCTTAAAAAAAAAACCCCGGGGGGCCCCCCCCCCCCCCCCCCCCCCCCCCCCCCCCCCCCTTAGTTTCATAAGTATTAATATCTTGGTTGTGGTTTTTTGTTTGACCATGATGTGGTTAACCTGGGTTTAATGATATATACATAGATACATTATACCTGAAATACTATTTATAACATACATTTAAAAACTACACTACAATTGATCAGAGCAGTAGCATGGAACTCTGGGGTTGTAGGTACAAGTCCCACTTATGTTGTATTTTTTTTTAATCTAAATAATTTTTTGATTTGAAAAGATGAACAAATATGTGGACACAGACAATTCCCTACAACTAAGATGTTTCTTTATTATTTGTACATAATTGCTAATGACGCAAAAAACAAATTAATATTTTTTCCCCTTAATATTTTTTTTATAATTTTTTTACAATTGGTAATAACTTTCTATAGGATTATAGTAATCGCTACAATAAAAATTATATGAATTTTACACTAATCAACCATGAAAATATAATATTTGTAGTTGTTCAACCTAAAGGTTTGTTATATAAGTATGTTGTGTAAAAATAATGACCAAATTATCAATATTGAAAGAACAGAAGATTTTTATTATAGTTAAACCAGTTTCAAAGCTGACAAAATAAAAACCTGTTATCAGTGAAGCAGAAACTTTAAACTACATATTTTTAAAAAGATGTAACAACATAAAGCAATTTATAATTACTACAAAGGTTGTTAGTTCTTTTACAATTTTTTGCATACATAATTGACAAATTAATACAGATATAAATAAATTTCTTTGTATCTTATGAAAGTTAAGGTTCAAAGGAATTATCCTTGCAAGAGGTAACGGAAACGCAACGCGCCGCTCGGACGGGTTTGTCGACCTTCGCGCACTCAGGTTTCCTTACTGGACAGCATGTGCTATTTCTACATGATTTCTGATTCATTGTAACGTTTCTAAGTAATAAGTAAGAATGTATTATAGTTTTCAGTAGTAGTATGTTTTTATCTTTAAAGATAGAATTCTAATAAAACGAAAAAGGTGTTAACTTTTTTAATCAACAATTTTTATATCTAGTATTATTTTATTTAGGCTGTTAAAATGAAAATAGGATTTCATATCTATGTATTGTCTGTATTGTCGCAAAGAGTACATATTTAAATAAAACCTTTTTTATCGTTTTAAATATTCCGCATTTATAATATTGTTTTTTTTTTACTACGATTCCAGATTGTAGTAGACGCGATCCCTGGGACATAAGCTTAATGTTATATTAAACTTTGCATTTCATAAACATACATTTACTTATTACGAAATAGTGCGTTGGTTATATTATAAAGGTTGGTAGGATATATTATAAAGTGAATATCTTGAATTATTTTAGACATAGACTAATGATAGAAATATTAACCGTGTTGTAGAAACACGACCTTAATTATCCTTAATACATAAAAACCAGTTTGACGCTAAACTGTGAAACGGTTACGATGAAACTTGTTCATGGTTGGATTACGTATCTAGTGATCATACCAATTTCAATACAATACTCGTTGACCCTACGATGAGTCATCTTTTCGGAAGTTTGTAATGAGCACTGTGTCATTTATTCATTACAGAGAGAGGAAGAAACAAATAGGACGCGGTCTATTTCATTATTTTTATAGTCCGTTACTTCGATTTTTTTTTATGATAGAGGATAGCAGTTGGTAGATCAAATACCCCAGCAATATATAACATCTTAACAAGGTGTGCTGTCAACATATTGGCTTTGGATAGGTATTCTAAGTAGGCTACAGTCGCTTTATGAAAGAGAAACATTTCTATTTATTACAATACTGTAGTGTATACAATAAATTATCTTCCATATCAAGATCCTTGTAGCGGAATAAATTGTTAACAATTCTGCTACCGGGACTTTTTGTACGTTTTATCAATTCGGACAACTTTAAAATCCTTATAGTACGATAGCATAAGTGAAAATACCTTCTTTTAATACGGCACGAAATGAAGATTGTACGTTACCTTGAGTTGTAACGCTAGGTCAGTCGACAAGCCAACTAAGGGATCGATCACCACCCAGTTGGTCACTGTAAATCAAATAAAATAGGGTCAGTGTGTACTTTGTCGATAGGTCAATGTCTTTTACTTACTCTATTTAAACATTTCTTTATATATAACCTATTCAGTACTTAGATAATTAACTAGTCCTATTGGATTGTAAGTCATTGCATCATATTTCGTTAGCGAGGCAGTGGAATGATCAATTATTCATCATCCTACATAAAGTTTGTTAGCCCAGGCCGAATGCGGTTTGAACCGAAACTGAATTTCAAATTTTGTCTGTAAAGTTCAACCGAAATTCGGTTCATATTATTTCATAAAATAATTTAAATTCACGACATAAGCGAGGAGTTATTTGTTTGTTAAATAAAAAAGCTTATTACTTAAAAAATTTTGTAGTTGGATTTTATAGAAGCAAGATCCATTGGATCCAATGAAATTGGCTTTATATTTGTTTGGTCAACTACTACTCCCAGCTACAAAGACTACTTAAGGACTCAATGATTTATGGTAATCCTCTGTTTCTCCAGGCCTGGCGTTGCTAATAGCAGGAGGAGTGCAATACTCGAACACACCAGCCGTTCCAGCGCCGACGCCGCAAGACGTGGATAACGGCATCGGTGCGCTCATTGCGGGAGGCGTCATCCTTTGTCTCGGACTGTTATTTGCGGGTAAATAAACTTATTCATTACATTTTACAGTATACTAGCGACCCGCACCGCCTTCGCTCGGATGCAATGCTGATACTAAATACACTACAGAAAAACTGTGAACGTAGTATATAAAAACCTTCCTCTTGAATCAATCTCTCTATTAAAAAAACTGCATCAAAATCTGTTGCGTACTTTTAAAGATTTAAGCGCACTGGCAATTATTTTAACTACGCCCTTATATCTGCTGTTTTTATTTAGTTTCTCCCCCATATAATAATATTTTTTTAAGCAGAAGATGATATGATTAGCAACTGAAAATAATTAGAAATAAAGAAATCCGAAACGGGGATTCATTTGTGGCCGGTTGTACTCAAAGTTTCGATATTTCCATTCATCCAAAGTTAGTTGAACTAATAAATGTTTTTCTTTTGCCGTCAACTTTATATAACGGTATAAATTCAACTTATTATGTAGAGTTTACGCTATATAAGAACAATTGAACCAACCTACTGTTTTTTACTACATATATGTTAGATTTTTTGTTTTTAAACCATTTATAATATCATGACTAATGCTTTAGCTGTATTATACGCTTGCATTACTTCGTTATTAACACAACAAAGCGCTAAAAATATTGTATGTTATAAGCATAACGGTTTATAATTATTAATTGGAAAATATATTTTACCGTTACATTTTTTAATATTTTCCATTTAAAGACTAAATAAATTAACTACCAGAAGTCTGTTTATTGATAAAATAATAAATAATAAGTTTCTTTAAAAATTGACATAGCATTAGTTGAGTCTTGTATTCTCTTTGGTTTAAATAAATCAATTAATCAGGAAGCTATAGTGGCATTAAAGATAATAATACATATTTAGCCCCTTCTCCCCTTCCCGCGTTTTAATCGGCAAAACCGTGCATCAAACAAAATAAAGCCAAATAAATTATCCCCCTACATAATAACGTGAAAGGCCCTCTTTACAATATAATATTGTTATGAATAAAGTTGTTAAGAGGCAATAAACGGTTCATGGTTAAAATATGTGACGTAACGTGCCCCGATCGTGCTTTGCGATCACGATGTGTCTGAAAGGAAGTGGAAAATGTATCGGCGGAAGGCCGATGGTAATCTCGCTCTCCAATACGGTAGTGCCATCGATTAAATAATATAACATGTGGCTGATAGTTTTTAACTTTTCTGAGAATTGTTATTTTTATTACGTAATACTTATTGAATAACAATACTCACTTGATGATAAATTAACATGGAGCATTTATTCATTACACCGTAATCGTTACCTCGGGATGTCCAAAACGTTCTTGATTTCTGGAACATTATTTATTTCGAACTAACCATTTAAACTTTAAGTCTATAAAATTGTAATAATGTATAAAAACAATATACGCAGACACACACAAACACAATAAAAAAATTACTTAGGTACGTATAATTGACAATGCTAGTAGATTACGTTAGATTGAATTAAGACAAGATAACTTTGAGAAAGTCTAAAATGTTGGTAAAGAATTGCTTAACTGTTGTGGGGGCGAACGAGTGGGTGTTAGCCTAATCGTAGGCTGTAAACAAAACAGTAAAGCACAGATTTCCGTTCTAAATAACAAATTAAAGAGGGCTATAGCTCATAGTATAAACGTAATTAATTATAATGATAATGTGTCAGCGAGGATAAATTACGCACTCTTAGCCTACCTACTGATGCTAAACCGCTTCAAAAAAGTATTACTGTGCGTAATACTTTTACATCTTTACTACTATTTTAAAACTGAAGAATTTGTTTTTTTTTTTGTTTTAACGCGCTAATCGCAGAATCCACGGGTTCGATTTGAAAAATATTTTAGTAATATATTAATAATAATTTCTAATAATGTGTCATATTAGTTAGAGCATTTATCTAGGAACACTAGGGTAAAAAACATTACGCTGCGAAATAGGAGCGAAAAAATAGTAGGAAATCTTAAAAAACACGGAGAAAATTATTTATCTTTGAGGTTTTCCGTTGCATACACTTCGAAGATCGTTCAAGATACCCAAAAATTATTTATAAATTAATGATTCCCCAATAAATAATTTTAAAATATGACAGTATATATCTATTTTTTTAAGATCAACTTGCAACAACCTACTGGACGCGAACGACGTCGTGGGTAACAGCTATCATTTATAAAGATGAGGTTTCCAAAAAAAAATGTTGATGCCCAAAACTCTACGCGGTTGATGTCACTGGCACAGCTAGTTATTTATATAACCTCTTACGCGGAAGTTGTATGTATTTTGTGTATTTGTTTCTGAACAGGCGTAGGCGGTTGGGCCTGGTCTGCCCGTTGGGGTGGAGGCAAGGACGCTCCAGCTAGCGGTGCAGCTGCTCTCACCGCACTCAATCCTTCCACCGACCCACTCGTAGCAGCACAATACGCTCCCGTACGCGACGCACCACCTGCCCCCGACGACGAGATGCGGAATCTCATGGATAACAAGGAGTGGTAAGAACTATTGACCTCCTTCTAATGTGAGGAATTATTTCTCCCCTATTTTATGACACTTCCCTTTAATAAAAGTACCATCAGGGACATATGACATCTAATTAAGATGTCCTTCAGCAAACCGTTTGTTTAGTTACATACGGTATCGTAAAGGGAGTCTTGTTGATATCCTGGCTTCATCGAATCTAAACCGTGACAACCGGCACTTGGTGGGGGCTGAGTCTCTGGGACAAAAACTGAAAAATACTAACCTATCAATTAAAGGTTGATCAATTAGCGTATTTAGCAACATTTTATCATCCCCCTACCCTCACCTATTATCGCCATCTAGGTCATCCTGGGCTTATAAGATTACCTATATTTTTAAAACTATCCAATTACACTTAACATTTAGAAGCACTAAGAATACCTACTGATTTTAATCTTAATTTATATTTAATGGTGTATGAACGTACCATGTATGACCATAATCATACAAATGATTAGTCAAATTAATTAATTTTAATAGCTGTTAAATGAAATTAAAGTTTAAATATCTTTGAACTTATTTTGAAGCAAACATTTGAAATATTGTATTGGCCCAATACAATATTTCAAATGTTTAAAGTGAAAGTAGTCTATGGCAAGTTTTTATGGAGCTCTCTCCCACCTATTATAATAGAAGTTTTGATGAATGTGTAGGCGTCAGTTTTTACACAAGAAATATTATTGTTTTGGTAATTCTGTAAACATATAAGACGATGTTGGAAATTATTTTTTGTACTGCAACGTGGAGAAAGATTAAATGTAGTCAATAAGATATAAAAGGTGCATTGGTTAAGTATTTTCGGATGTAACGCATCATTCTGATAATCTATTAATAATCTAGTTTCAAATTATTCGTTCAAGTTACAAAATGTACGGAATAGATTTTGTTATTATTCGGAATATTTGAATAGAATGTTGACATTGGCCCCTTGTGTAGTTTACACGATGTTCTATTGTCATAGTCAAGTACATGGTAATACTTCATGCTGTCTACACAGTACCGATCATCGTACTAGTCTCAACTACACCATAGGTATATTAAAAACTATTTATACCTTACGTGAAACTTTAAAAATCTTTTATGCGAATAGATACATGATACTCTACGGTCTTGTGGCAGTCAATAGTGAATGAATCGGCACTACGCAACGTTGATCGGCTTCGGTATTGATATAGGTTTATTTGTGTTAAAATCAACTATTAAACATAGGCTTGTAGCACGTAAAGTGTATCATATAACTTCTTCTAATGCATTGACAAACTAGAGACATCATAAATAAATGCTCATTTGAAAAACAATGACGCATCCATTTTATTTGACTCGGTAACTTTTTCCTGTGGGAACAATTTACAGGATACTAGACGACCGTTTTAACTACACGCCTGTCTGTCTATTATTGGACTGCGTTTTTTGTTTCAGTTTAAGCAGCGCTGAGGAGAGCGACAAGATGTTGGACAGCCGGCCGTCAATAGCATAAGCATTATTGTTTATTACTTGTTTCACAGGAATTACCTGTTTTACGTCCCCCTTACTAAGACTACTATTTTTAATTCAATTATCAGTTGCTTTAGGCAAAACCTTACGATAACCAGAATTATTGTACCTACCTTGTTATATTAAACAAGAGTTTGAGGAGAGTAATACTACGAAATGGATTAACTCAGTTTAACATGTCAATGATATTCATATTGATTTTTGCATTTTTTTTTGGTACAAATATTTCAATTTGTTTGACATATAGATTAAGAATATTTTGTATTCATACAATATGGTCTGTACTTATTTTTTACTACTATTATTCATTAGCAACTTTTAACAAACAAATAATATGTAAAATGTGGCCAAATTATCGTCCAGATATTTAGATAAGATGGTTATTCTTAATTAAGCATTTCTTGTCTAGATTTAAGAAGAAATATATACAAGTATGAGATCATCATCCGAAAGGTCACCAACGTAAAGGGCATATTAAATATTCTTGGTAACATTTAAAAGTATTACTATAAAGATATTTAGGTGAGAATTCAATGTGTAATTGTTGTATATTTACTGTAGACGAAATCCTCCATCGTATTTTATTTTCCTACATTTTTATCGTGTTTAAATATTTAAAAACACAATACTAAGATGTACAATCCAAGTCTATCCTAATTATGAAAGCAGATTTATTGTAGAGAGACACCGATTAAAATAGATAACTTTCAAAACTTTGTAACACCCGATTCTCTTAATATAAACAAATTCATTTTAAAAATATATTTTCATCCTACTATGTTTTTGTTTCTACATTAAACTGTAGAAATAATGAAACAGAGTTTAATATTCCAGGCAAAATATAATTGATCGACGCTTGTATAGAATAAGTCTTCAAATATAACTCTTTTCTGTAAGCTTAACTTAAACTTCATTTAAACCACATAATGTAGCTAAATATTTTAATTTATTTTGGTAGAAACCGTCCTCCTAGATTTAAGTATTATACATTTTTGCTTAGAGTCGTTGTGTACCATAGGTGAAAAACTCTTTTTTCATTTACACTATCATTGGGGCTGTTCGAGTATCATGATAAGTTTATTTCCCTATCAGCAACAGTAAGCTCATATACATTTGTACTTATATTTTCCTTCTATCTACCTAATCTGCTTTTTTTATTGATGATGATATTGATGATTGCCCTAGCTTCAGATTCTAAACAAATAGGTTTCAGATAGAGAACATGTTAATAAAGGGGGGGGTTCTTCTTGAACGATCTCTTACGCAAACCTTTTTGCAATTACATATTGGATAACTGTTACGTTATATTCAGTGCATTGGACTTTGTGACTTGTACAATTAATTATTTACGACTAGAAAATTGGTATTCCTAAAAAGAGTAAATTTTCTTGAATCTAAAGGAAAGGAGAGCCCTCACTATGTTTGCAATGACAATTTGTTTTTACTTTATTATAGTTTATTGCTACACAATTTTTCTATATTATATTTTTATGATTTAATAGTAGTTATACAATGTACCTATTTTTTGTTATGCTTACTATAGGAAGTACTTACAAGTAATCTCAAATATTTTAATAAAGTTATTTTAAGTGTAAAATGTTGTTTTAGTTTTGGGATATATATATATTCCTCTTATGCATCAAATTTAATTCAGGTAAGAGTTATCACAAAATTTGCTCATAAATATTTATTAAAATAGTTACAAAATAGTACATAGTTATTTACTCTCAAATTTACTAATCAGTCTCTGTTTGTACGACGCCACCAAGGAACTCCAAGAATTTCATCATCTTGAGATAATGTTGTAGGCCTATAAAAAAAGGAACAAAAATGTTTATTATTATAATTTTTATAATACTAAGTTTATTGTCAGGACAAATAAATCAAATAACATAAATGCATACCTATAAATATGACTACGAGGTAACGTGGATGGCATTAACGGACGTATTGGTGCAGATACTTCCTGAAATGATAAATTTCTTAACATATTTTTACAAAATAAAGATCTAAAATAATCTACTTTGGGTATCGCCATAAGAAGTAGAAATCTTTGCTTAGTCAAAGTGCATAGCCATTGATGAATTGATTTACTTTTGATACCAAATGTGGCCGCTAGAGACACAGTGGCCCATATCAACCAAAATTATGGCAGCTAAACAGATCACAAACCCATAGTAGCATTGAAAAATGGCCAGAAAACCATAACAGTCTATAAGCAATCCTATCCCCTTTTAAATAAGTAATCAAATAAATGCAAAACCAAACCCACTTGTATCTGATGCATAGGAATGTGCATATTGGTTCTCAGTTTGCGTTGTCTTATTTCTCTACGAACACAGCACTGAACCCCTAATAATACTCCACAGACACATGATGAAAGGCAGCCTGTAAAGAATAAAATAAAATCAATATAAATAGATATATAAGGTCTGAATCCTAGCACTGAGAACTATTAAAGAAGCAATTTTTCTACTATTTGTGACCAAAATAATATATTAACTTTCTACCAGGGATTGTAAATCAGGACTTCTTATTGCAGTTACAAATATGCTGGTGGGAGATGTTAATTTTGGATAGCTAATCAGTTTATTAATTTAGGCCATATGACAAAAGTAATATATTTATATAAAATAAATTACTTACCAATATAAACTAATACACCAAGATCACCATTGCGATTTGTTTTTCTTAATACTATACCAGCTATACATAGGGAGATGCCAGTCAATATCCCCACCACAAAAATGACCTAGACAAAAATTTCATATTAAGTTTGAAAAATCTATCTTTTTAAAACCAAGCAATTATTAGCATATTACTATACTATTTCATTAAAAAGCGTTATATGTTTAGTAGCCCTCCTACAGCAACAATTGCATTTTATTTGTTAAAAAATAAAACTAAGAAAGTATAAAGCCTACTATGTAAACTTATTTAACAAGGAAAAATAGAAACCTGTAAAATGTAATAGCAGACATATTCAAACCCAGGACAGTGGCCTCCGCATGCTCCGATGATAGGAACTTCGGGGCTTACAGATGCCAGTGAGGCAATTGGTAAATCCATTGGTGGGTGCATCTCCTGTAGTGGCAATGAAAATGAGGATGCACAAGTTGGAACATTGTTTGTAGTGGTTCTTCTCTCACCTCTCCAGTATTCATTCCAAGTGCCACTTTCACATGGTGAATGGTATACTGGGGAGGGTGGTGCTATTTCTTTGTATTGCAGTACCTGTAATTTAAGGAAGGGGTAAATTCTGCACAAGACCTTACATAAACAACAGTACTAATACCTCCCACTGTAAACTGCCTCTTCCATGGCTTAATTCTAAACTTAAGTTTAAATTTCAATGAATTAAAAAAACCTTCTATAAGTAAAGCTGACTGCTAAAATTATTGAAAGTTTATAAAAATAAGCTCTAATCGAGGCACGTCCACATGGCTACTCAAGAACACAGAATGGTACTGTGAAAAAAGGACGACAGTAAATGGACGGTAATAACTTATAGACACTTACATGATACTGGTGCTCTGGGGTAGATCGTTCGGTGCTTGTATACACTGACGCATTAATGTCCTCAGCCCAGGGGTACTTAGCCCTGAGCCTAGATGCCGTCGCAAATTGTTGTTCACTACGCGGAACTACTGTTGTTTGGTATGGATGAACATTACGATTTGAAATTGTGCCAAACTGCGTTGGTGGTTTAATCATTTTTCCTTTTTTAAACGCTTCATATACCAAAAACAACAAAATATCCCCATGTGGCTTATAAAATTGCACTTCTTGAAGAAAACATTATCGTGCTTTGTCTTATACACAATATTAAGTAAATACTATAGAAACAATACCCAACGTTAAAAATTAAACCTCATTTAAATCGTCTTTTGTTATTTAATTAAGGTCTTCAATTACCACAGTACAAAATTTTATTTAATCTCCATAAATGCTATCGCAAAATGCAACAAACATAAAGCCACAGATGTGACAGAGTTTTGACATAGACCAAAAATATAGACTGTTCGTAGCACACAACGCACAGATGGATATAGACTATACTATTATACTATGCGTTTGTATACAAACAGATACCGTATAATACAACAATAACCGTCCTTGTAAATTATTGACCAATAGATAACTTTTACAAAATTCTAGGCCTTTTTACATTACTATAGGCTGACAATTAATTATTGTAAGTCAATGTTTTATTTTTCTATAGTTAAAATATCTCTTTTTTGTAGTATACTTTTATATTGTAAATAAATAATGAATAGTATACAAGGATAAATAAAAGACCACAAAAATGTTTCTATAAGATTTTTAAAAAGCATACTTTTTTGGGTTTTCATACCCTAGTATAAAAATCATTCATAAATCTATGGAAAGATAGAGGTAAACATAACTGTAGGCTACAGCACAACTTTTAAAATCGCATAGGCCTTGAAATCGAAAACAACTAGAAATTACGTCTTATTTGTGAACTAGTAGGAAGACAATTTTTAAGAGTTGTTAGTGTTAATAAAAAAAATACTCACTTTCTCTACCGGATATGTGAAATATTTTTTTTAGATGAGACAGAAAAACGTTAAATTTTAAAAGATTTTGTAATTGAAAGGTGCAGAAAATCTTAAAATAAAAATACGGATAGATTGTTAAGTGTAACCTATAATACTAAAAAGTAACTAAGAACAGTATACATTATAAAAATAAATAAGTATTTGCTCAAACAATGACAATTATATGACATTTATAACATTGCAGATATCAGGTCGAAGTTGACACATACAAATGAATACCAAAGGAGCGTTATAAAATTATTAAAACGACAACTATTCTCTTACCCCCATAAAAATGGACTGTGCTCTTTTTTTCAATCTTTTCTTGTGCATTTTATGTTCATTGTACTTTCATACAGTGATATCAATGAAAGTAGAACGTTGCATTAGTATTGAAAATGGTGTCTTAACCGAAGATGATTTTATGAATCTAACAAAGTCAGTTATTCCTGATTTATGTGGAAAACATAAAGGTGAGGCTGGTAAAATAGCTGTTGTGGGAGGATCATCAGATTACACAGGAGCACCGTATTTCACTGCAATAACGGCACTCAAGGTAGGAATTTAATTTAAATTCAAAAGGCTCTATGTATATTGGTTGGAATATAAATTCGGTATTGGACTTAAGACGAGTCCTTCGTACAATTTTAACTACTATTTCTCTGTCTATAGTTTAAGCGAGTAGTACATATTTAAATAAAACACTAACGGTTTAAAACGCGATATAGTTAAACTATTTGAAAATGATTTTAACTCGGCCCGAGTTTCGGATGCTTTGCAGCAGCCGTGGTCACGGGGAGACTAAAGATGGAGGATGTCTCTGACGTCAAAGTAAAAAATTGCTACGCTAGCGCCATCTGTTCCGTCGAAGTTGGTATTTAGCGAAACTGGCCGGGTCCTTACAGAATTGACTAACGGTGTCTTCGCGTTTGCCGGTATGCTGTTTATTGGGATCCAGAGTTTTTAATATGGGATCCAGAGTTTTTAATATGGGATCCCAGGTGTTTAATAATTTGAGGCCTATCTTTAGTCTCCCCGTGACCACGGCTGCTGCAAAGCATCCGAAACGTCGGGCCGAAGCTAGAAATCATTTTCAAATAAGTTTAACTAATATATCGCGTTTTAAACCGTTAAAGTGTTTTATTTAAATACTACTTCTCTGTATATATGTCGATGTATCGAAAAATAATTAATCGTAAATTTTTGGCAAGATGTGGTGTTACTTTTAGATATAAATATTTTTATCTTTTATAACATTAGCTCTAAGTCCATACAGATAGACATAATAGGTATTATAAATGTTTCAGGTTGGTGCTGATTTAGCATACGTTATAACTCCAAGTGCCACCGCATTAGTTATAAAATCGTACAGCCCTGATCTAATTGTCATCCCATACTCCCCTTCCTTAGATCTCATTGGTATACTGAAAAAAGTACATATTGTTATTATTGGACCTGGCCTTGGTAGGGAGCCGAATGCAATGAAATTGTTTTACGATATTGTAGGTATGTGTAGAATTCTAAAGAAACCTATGGTGATCGACGCAGATGGTTTATTTGCCGTTTATAAAAATGCAACCATATTAAAAGACTACCCTGGTCCAGGCGTAGTTCTGACACCTAACCACGTTGAGGCACAAAGAATCAAGGGAGCTGTTGGATCAGACAATTTACTCTGGCACAGATTTTGGGGCGAAAATGTCTCAATATTAGAAAAGGGCGCAGAAGATCAATTTCATACATCCGTTGCAAATTTGAATTGGACCCTCGCACAGGGTGGATCGTGTCGTCGTATCGGCGGTCAAGGCGATATATTGGCTGGAGCCTTAGGAACTTTCCTTAATTGGGCGCTAAACTCGAACATTTGTGAAAACAATAAAACAACTTGGATAAGTCACAGTCTTGCAGCTTTTGGAGCCGCTAAGCTGACAAGAAGTTGTAATGAAAATGCTTTTAAAAAATATGGTCGAAGTATGTTAGCGTCCGATATGTTACACGAAATCCATTATTCTTTTGAGATGTTATTTAATTAAATACTATATGATAAAAGTTTATTGATTACTCGATTAAATAATATAGAGTAAACGTGTTTAATAATTATTATTTATTTTTATATTATGGAAAATTTTTACTATTTTTACCGTTAATTTTTTTTTATCGCCTTCATCTCAAATAGGTTACGCGCATACTACGCATTTAATTAGATACTACGATATAGCTCGATTTATAATATTTATAGTTCAGACATCAAATGGAACAGAACGCGTTTAGACCTTGATTAAATAATAATAGTTTTTTAACAAATATTTTTGCGAAATATAGACGTGGATGGAAAAGTTATATGGCAACTTTGCTTACGAATTCAATCATAGATATTAAGTTCTATTGCGTTATGTCATCTGTGCTTCTATAATAATTAATAACAATAACTTACTGAGGTGCGTCAAACTATAATAAGAATATATTTATTATCTTTTGTAGGTAATCAGTGGATAATTTAAATATACCATCTATGTAAATTGAACAATGTACATTATAACTATAAGGACAATATAATGTACATATTACTAGTGTTATTAACCAATGTATGCAGTTTTACTAAATAGTTTTGATCTCAACTCACGTATACCCAATATTTTTCTGTTAAATTTCTTGAATTTGCCAACGTTAAGTGTCTTGAGGTTGATATTGAGTGTCGGGACTTAAGCTAAGAATTGGAAAAAATGTAAGGAATTGACATTCATCTCACTAGTGTAGAGCGCTACAATATATAATCTAACGCTACGTAAATTAACACGATGTATGCTTGGAATAAAGAAAACTCATAGACGTTTGGATGGTTTAAATCGAGTGGCATTACAATGGTCGCTAGTGGATCTTCGAAACCTGATATAACAACAAGTAATATGGATGAAACTGAACATTTTAACGCAAGTGCAAATAACTTCTGTCGAGACTATATAAAAGGTTGCTGTAATCGTGATAACTGTAGGTATATTCATGAAATCCCACCTAAGCCTTACCTAAAAGATTTATTTAAATTTTGTCATGACTTCCAAAATAAAGGCTGTTTCAGATCAAATTGTAAATTTTTACATTGTTCGATAGAAGAAGAAGACCATTTTTATGCAACTGGCATGTTACCTAGAGAACCAAGAAATATACCAGTTTGTCAAGCTCATAGACATGGAATTTGTTCAATTCCTGACTGCAAATTTTTACACATAGAACAAAATAATGAATTAGTTTCAATTCGAAATGTTCAAGCACCACTTCCAATGTTTGACAGGCCACCACCAAGTTTGAGAGATGATAGTTCCCCACCAGAACCCAAATTAAGAAGATATACATTTGATGAAACAGGAATAGATAATAAAGTGATGCACACACAGACTATATGTTCTAACTGTGATGCGTTAGATCATAGAGTTAAGTTATTACATGATAATATCAGTGTTTTGTTGAAGAAAGTTGCTGATTTGACTGAAAAAAATATTCAACTTACGTCTATGAATGAATTTCTATTAGAACAAACAACTTCTGTGAGGCCAGATCAACCTTGTGTTATAACTTCTAGGCATGGCACATCTGCCCCTGTATCTTTAGCTACAGTAAGTGTCACACCTGTTGTCAGTCTAGCAGGAGCACTCCCCACATTGGTTCCAGCAGCAGCAACACCAAATCTCACATTAGCCCCAGCTGCTTCCCAAGGTCAATTGCTAACTCCCGCCCCACAAATACTTACAGTTAGTACAACTCAACAGTTAGTGGGAAATTCAGGAGCCTTGATAGTAACCAGTGCAGGTGCTCAACAATTGATGCAAGTCAGTGATTCTGGTACCCTAATGGGTGGAGGGCAGACTGTAGTTGCCGTGACTCCAGCTCAGCTTACGTTAGCTCAACCCACACAACAGCTAATGAGTAGTGGACCACAAACAACAGTGCAACACCTCATGCAGACGTCAGCTTTACAGTCTCAAATACCACAGCACCAAGCATCTCAATATGCTGCAACACAGTCTGTACAACATTTAGCAGCAGCACAACAATCTGTACAGCATGTAGCAGCTCAGCAATCTGCACAACTGGTGGCGCAACAGTCAGCTCAGCACTTAGCTCAACAGTCAGCACAGCATCTAGCTGCTCAGCAATCTGCCCAACAGCTTGCTGCACAACAATCAGCCCAGCAAATAGTGGCTCAGCAATCAGCCCAACAGCTAGCTGCTCAGCAATCAGCTCAACAGCAATTAGTGCCATCAGCACAGCAATTGGTGCATCAGACTCCTACACAACAAATTACTATATCTAGTACTAGTCAACCGATGGCTTTGCCCAATTCTCAAGCACAGTCTATTACATTCCCAATTATATCACAGAGTATTTTGCCTCATTGAAGTGAAGAGTTAAGTTGTGGTAAAATATATTAGCTAATTTTAAAGGATTGAATGCATGTTTTTGTTGTTTTTTCTGTGTACATACACATAGGACCATTCATGATTTTTATATATTACTGTGTATTAGACCTTACTTAACACAAGTGTTAAAAAGAAAGATAAAGAAATATTCTTCAAACTCAAAAAATATTATGCTGTGATGTATACACAGCAAACGTCCTGAGGAGTCTATTTGTGGATTTTTACTATTGAATGGTCTACTTTTTACCAAAAATATGTGTTTTTAGTTAAGTAATCATTCACCATTAGAGTGATCGAATTCGCCAGTGACTGCATGGCAATACGAGTATTAAATAATGATTAGTTCCATACAACGCTAATAAACAATAATTTAAAAAACATATTTGATTTCCATCCATCCATATTTTATATATATATAATTGTGTTCAAAAGTTATAATATAGTGAGATAGTTATATAGAAGCTCGAACTGAACAAACGGTATTAACTCCAGTTCGACAAGCGTTATGTTTTAGCTGGAAAACACAGAAGTGAGAGGTTTATAAATACCCTTCCTTTTTTTGTATTCTCTGACATTCATTTCTGTAGGCCCAACAGATAAAACGCCATTTATGCAGAGCTGCAGTATCGTACCCATTCCTAAGGTAGCCTGTAATTCGAAGCCCGAAAAAAAAGAATACGTTGTTAAAAAAGTAATATTTTAATTCTGATAATTCAATCGTTGTTTTTTTCTGAGAAACTGAAATTAAAGAAGTCTTATTTACAGTTGAACGAGGACTTCGTGTGATCTAATTTTTTTAAGGAGAATAATCATCGTGTGATTCTTAAGTAATATCATTTCCTCTATTGATCGTTGATATTACATTCAATGTATCCTAATGTTTTCGATGATAACACTCACTATTCTTGTTTTCATACTTGACTATTTTTCCGTAAGTACCCAGCGCTAAGTTACTCGAACTGTCGAAAGCAATAGCCGTTACGTTATCGCGTAGATTTACATTCTTAAGAGCCGTATCATTTTCATGGATGTAGTATAGCGTTTCACTAGCGACATACACAACGTTCTTGTGAACTGAAATTTGCCCCAGACCTTCGTACGTAACGTTGCCAACCAATGTTGGAAACGATAGATTGTTTTTAAGGACAAACAGTTTGTCATCCTTGATGAAATAGAAGTTGTTTTTATCATCAACGGCGACCTCATTAAGAGCTTCGAGGGATTTAAATCTTATTTTTCTTTCGCCTGACAATAGGTAAAGTTGTTCAACTCCGTCGTCACTTTCCGTTATATATTTGTTTCCGTCTTTATCTAGGAACAATTCGTTCGGTTTTATTTCAGGAGATGAAACTAGTTTCGTATCTTCTGAATTGTAATTATAAGCGTAAATGCCTCTCCCTGTCCCGAAGTACACCAAAGAACTGGTTTTGTCGACAGTAACAGAGTAACACTGTCCATCAGGAAGCCCTTTAAAAAGATGCAAACATATTTGGTCAAGACTTCTGTATTTAAGATAAAAAAGTTTTACCTTTTATAAACTAAATATTCAGACTTCAGTTCTCATAGGTAGTGTCAAGATTGTAAAATATTTGTTTTTTTTTTATAAATAAAAAGCCGGTCGGCATATTAAGGACTTACCGTTAACTTTTTCAGGTACTGTTGAATTCGCTTTAACTACCTTTGCATCAAAATAGTACCCGTCTAAATTTCGTCCGGATTCTATAAAGAATAAATTTCCGTATTTATCATAGTGGGCATCCGTTGGATAGGCGTTACCAACGTCGTATACTTCCGATGCATTATAATGGTCCTTGTCTATAGTTAAATCTGATCCACATGATTGGTTCGGTAGATCAAAGGGAGAACCGTTCTTCAGAACTGATAGAAATATGATTATTAAATACAAATTCATTTTATTTATTAATCCGCGCTTATTCTCGTTGATGACAAGTCAGTAACTGAGTTGAAGCAAGTTTATTTCTAGAAGAAAGTGATGAAATAGGAAAAGTGAATGTCCCTATTATTACCTTTAGGTACGTCCATTAAATATATACAGAAGATAAATCCTAGATATACAGAGGTCACCACTCATAAATAAAAATGTAAAAACAAAACAATGTATTGTGTCATGATTTACTTTGTATCAACGTTTCAAAATAAGGTGAGCAATATTTATAAAATCATACTCATTAACAAAGAGGCTTATGTATATAATGTTATTGTTTTCAGTAGCCTACATTTTTTTTAAACTTAAATATATATTTTTTGTTATTGCACTTATCAAGGTACGCTTCCTGGAAGTACAATTGGTCACAGCGACACCACGGAACGCTGTGGATGTCGGTTCAAGTCCTGCCTGTGTCGTAAATTTTTTTCAATCCGGAAGTGACTTTTAATTCATTTAGCTAAATTCTTTGTTTAAATTTATCAGCTTATGTACCTACTATGTAGTATTATATGGTTCTCTTGTCACTTCAGTTTGACACTGCAAGTAAGCAGGTAATCGGCCGTGTCTTACATCTTTTATTTTGTGTATTTTTCTTCGATGCCGTTGTAATATTTTCCTGTAAACATATGTAACTATGTATTTTTCAATGATCATTTATATATATATATGCGGACGTCAGAGCTCTGAAAGTATCTTATCAATAATCTTATATTTATTTAACATAACATTTTAAGTCTTTACTGCTTTTAATATAGTAAATTTTTGATAACGCTTTAATAAGTAAAGTCACCTTCACAGTCAGCATGGCCTGAAGCCTATACGGAACTACCATAATTTAATAAAGAATTTAGGCTAAAAATAACTTACTTGGTATTAAATTTCTTATTACATATCTCACATTCAACAGTTGCTTGCCTCAAATGAATTTCTTCAATGTGTTTATTAACACAAGTCTTACTGGGGAATGCTTTTTCACAGTATGTACACTGAAATAAGAAAAGTTGGTTAAAACTCAATATATGTACTATAGTATTATAAAATTAAACATAATCTGAAATGCTGCTTTTGAATTGCTTTTACTAAATTATAGTTATCTACGAAACTTTTTTTGAATTTGGTAAAAATAAGACAAAATAAATACTGTATATAGTTTACGCGAGTAACACATTTAAATAAAGCACTTTAACGGATTAAAACGCGATAAAGCCGAGGTCACGGCTGCGCATCCTAAATTTCGGTTGAACTAATATATCGCGTTTTAAACCGTTAAAGTGTTTTATTTAAATAAGCCTAGGTATTTAAAAGTGATACTATGAAAACGTTGTGTACAGCGCTATTTGATTTTAAAGATAATAAAATATATGTACCTTGTGGGGGCGGGTTTTTGTGTGGATACGGTTTATATGCCTGCTTAAATTACTCGCTGTTGTTGTAGTCTTTGGACACTGTGGACATTTATATGGTTTATCTGTTAAATGTGTTCTTCTGTGTACTCGTAGTAAATCCATAGTTCTTCCTTTGTAAGGGCATGCATCACATTTAAATGGAAATATGTTTTCATGTGTAGTCCTGTAATTTATGAAAAAGTTATGTGAGGGGATTTAGGACCTATGAAAGATTACAGTTTCACTATTATTTATATTTGATCATTTTAATAATTATCAGAAAAATATAAATGTTAAAGCAATATTAATAAAAGATCATTTAAGGATCTCCCAACAGTAGTATTCATTCCAAAAAGCAACAGGTATTAATGACACAAGAATGAGTATACAAACCATAACTTACATATGGACTAAAAGACTTGCTTTGGACTTAGCAGTTTTGCCACAGATATCACATAAAAAAATGCTGTTCCTCTCGAGTTTCAGCGGTTCTGAATTTAATGAAGTACAGTCATGTATATTTAACAAAGCCTGTAATTTTAAGAAAAATAATTATCGAGCTCAATTTTAATTTAAGAAAAATAATTTTGTTACTTCTGTAATTAATTGTTAAACCTTTACTATGATACCAAACTACAAGTAATATTTACCTGGTCCAAAAAATCTTTATTACATTTGGAACAGACCCAGTTGTCCAAATTGTCATCTGAATAATTTGGTGATGGAATATCATAACAGTTCACTTTTTCTATGGGTTGTTTCCCTTTTTCTTGAACAGGACAAACATACTCTATAAAATGATATTCAAACATAGATAATTATAATCGAACCACTGCATAGGGGCAATTTTGTTTTTCATTGCATCCATTTGGTGTCTGTGCATAGTGAATATCTACCTAATGCATTGCTCCTTTACCATACCTTTTTTAACTAATACATCCTTCAGGGAATGTTTATTGTTGGCTTGGCACATCTCACGAAATATAATACAACGCTGTAGTAACTCTAAACAGCTTGGACAAATATATTTTGAATATTTATCATATATGTTGATCTGTAAAAAATTAAAAGTAATACGTTATAGTCAGGTGATTGTAATAACAAATAATTACAAAACCAACTACATACAATGACTCCAGAGATTTTGTTTATTTCCTCCTGTATATTAATGTGGTTCTTTTTGTCAAAAATTTTAATTTCACCTGTGTTTTTGTTACAAATCCGGCATTTCTCCGTATTTTGTGATTTTCTATAAGATCATAAGTTAATAATTAGATTATGCTTTAAAAGGGATTTCAGCTTTACCCTAAAAGATGTGAAACTCAAAATTCCTTACTTAGCCAAAAATATTTCAGTGTCAAGTCGTCGTTCATACTTCTGTGCTCTAGCCGATCAAAACAATTTATCATGTTCAATCGAAGGCGCTATTACATAGAAAGTTTGTAATTTTTTAATAATGAAAGATTTTTTTTAACTTACGATTGCGTTATTCTTTTTTTCTTCTGTCTCATTGCAGTTGCAAATAGAACAGACTTCAAGAAGATGACTGCACTCATTTATGTTAGTTCAGTTTTAATTAATAGAAGTATTGTAATTTTTGTTTATAGTGAAATTATTTAACAAAAAATATATTTACGAGTTGCAACTGCTTTACCCCACAGAGTGAACAGATTACAGACCTCTCTGTAGATATTTTCCTACTCTATGGAACAGACTGAAGGTGGATTTTCTTTCATTTGCATTGAGTTCACATTTATACGTTATAGTTATATGTCCTGCTGACACTGTTTTGAATCATTAGCATCTTTCGCGGGTTTCTTAGCAAATTAGAACGATGTGGGAAGTGGGAGTATCATGGGAGTGTCGGGAATCTCATCGAGATATCTTTAGGTATATAGGTACGGATCGTCAGGGTCGATAACAGAAATCGTGAAATTGTACGACATTTAATAACGAATACTATTATTTATGACACTGTATGCAAACTTTAAAAAGATTAGTATCATAGGGAGAGTTGTCATCCTTTTCAAACTGTTTAATAAAACTATTTTTTTTATTTCGATAACGCCAATGCTAAATAAACAGATCATAGTATGATGAAACCGCTCCGTTTAGTAACTAATAGTTTTATTATGTACATTTTTTTTAATTTCCTGAAGATTTTACTGCCATTTGCATTTATTGCTTGTTTGGTTGCAAATAATAACAAGAACTCCACAGATGTGCTAGACCTAGTTTGTTGACAGCATGTACAGATGTTATGTTATAAATTAATGTATGGCAAAACGAGATTATTATGATTCTTTGATACCTTCCCGCGCTAATTCAAATTTATACTAATGTTATAAAGCTTAAGAGTTCTGTGTTAGTTTGATCATTTATCGTGGAAGGCCACGGACAAAGTCGCTTCCATAAAAAATAATAAAAGTCTTCGATTAAAAATAATGCCAAAAACTGATAAATGTCATACTTTATTTTTAAAAATAAGGTAAACATAAATTTATATTTCACCCATTGGTATTATATGTGGCTTATGACTAAACAATAAGTCTTGACTTGACTGACAAATAAGTCTTTATGCTATAGAATATTTCTACACATGTTGTATAAGTGATATTATATCTTCATAATTTTAATCAGAGTATGTAGTGTTGTATTATTCTCAAGTATTCTCATCTGTTTGGCACTGTAGATAAGAAGGTATCCGTCCATGTCTTATACCTTTTATTTTATGAATTTTATTTCGGTGCCCCTGTAATATTTTCCTGTAATAAAAATAACTTAGTGCATTTTTTAAGCATATGTATGTTAATTATAATATTATTTGAAAATGATACTGTTAATATTTAATTTAATCAATGAAATCAATAATTGTTAAAAAAAAAATAATGCATTTTACTTTGAGGTTTCATAGAGATTACTTAATCGTTATCTTTGTTAAATAATGGTAACTTACTTGGTATTAAATTTTTTGTTACATATCTCACATTCAACAGTTCCTTGCCTTAAATGAATTTCTTTGATATGTTTATTAACACAAGGTTTACTTGAAAAAGCTTTTTCACAGTATGAACACTGAAACAATCATATATTTTTCTAACCATAACAGCAACAATCGAGTTCACTTAACTCATATAAAAATATCTTTTTAGTTAGCCTATGTGATGGATTACCTTGTTTTAAAAAATCGTAAACGTAATATGGAAACATTAAAACAAGCCATTGCTAAGCTGTATTACTTGGATGGGTAATAAAGGGTAATAAATCTTTCCCAAATTTAGAGATGACATTAATTGATGAATGCCATAGACACCAAGCATAGTTTGTCACATAAACAAACAATATAATTATAACACAGCTTCTGCTAATATATATTGAAACTGTCCAAATTTAGTCTTATTCCCTTTATACTTATTTAATATAGAAAATATTCAAACCTTGTGTGGACGGGTCTTTGTGTGGATACGGTTTATATGTTTCCTTAAATTACTAGATGTTGTTGTTGTTTTTGGACATTGTGGGCACTTAAATGGTTTATCTGTTAAATGTGTTCTCTTATGTACTCTTAGTAAATCCATTGTTCTTCCTCTGTAAGGGCATTCATCACATTTAAATGGAAATACATTTTCATGTGTACTCCTGTAATGTATGAACAAGTATTTTAAGGTACTTAAGAAATGTAAGCCTTTGATTGTACTATGTCAATTCTATAACTTACATGTGGACTAAAAGATTGGCATTGGACTTAGCAGTCTTGCCACAAATGTCACATAAGAAAATGCTGTTTCTCTCGACTTTCAAGGGTTCAGAATTTAGTGAAGTACAGTCATGCATTTTTAACAATGTCTGTAATTTGTAAATAAATATTTAAGCATTGGCTTTTAGCTTATTAAAATATATTTGGTAACTGTTGCATTTTAAAGAGTATAACTTTCTTTACAATTTCTCCACAAATATGTACCTCATCCAAAAAGTCTTTATTGCATTTGGAACAAACCCAATTGTCAAAGTTGTCATCTGAATAATTTGGTGATGGAATATTATAACAGCTTACTATTTCTGCATGTAGGTCTTTTTTGTTGTCATCAGGACAGACATACTCTAAAAATGAAATTTAATTATGATTATTTTTGAACCATCTGAAAAATGCCTACTTAATTTTTTCCTTAGGATTATTTGGTGGGTTACTGCTCTATACTCCCGTATGTACCTTTCTTTATCGATACATCTTTTAGACAATGTTTGTTGTTGGTTTGGCACATCTCACGGAATATGATACAACTTTGGAGTAGATCTAAACAGTTTTGACAAATATATTTTGAATATTTATCATATTTGCTAATCTGTAAAAAATATAAAGCAATAACTTCATAACTCTAATAAATTGACAAACACTTAAACAAAGTAGGTACATACAATGACTCCTGAGATTTTCCTAATTTCCTCCTTTATATTAATATGGTTCTTTTTGTCGAAAATTTTAATTTCACCTGTGATTTGGTTACAAATCCGACACATCTCTGGTGAATTTGTGTTTTCTTTTTTTCTATAAGTTTATAACATAATAATTCAATTATGTAGGTTTAACCTATATATCTTTTATTTTGGAATTAAATTAATTAGTGTTTTTTCTATGTCAAACAATAACCTATTTTATTTCGTGGCATTGACAACATTTCTGGCGATCAAACTACTGTGCCCTGTCCAACCGAAACAATTAATATTGTTCTCCAAGGAATCGAAGCAAAGACTTTACATGCAATACAATACTTATTCAACTGAGACACGAAGACGTTCTCCCCTGGAAAGTTGACTACTGGTAAAAACCGGGGAAAGTCAGGGTCTTTTTTACTTACGGTTGTGTTATTGTCTTTTTCTTCTTTTTTACTGCAGATGGGAATAAAACAGACTTTAGGAAAATAACGGCACTCATTTTAGTTGCTAATAGTTAAATTATAGTTACCTACAACGTAGATATATGTAATGAATAACAAAAGTAACAACAATAATAAATGATGTTGTGAGTTGTGACTTATGACTATGCGACCTAGCGCCAAGTAAATTCTTTCCACCACAGACTACACTTGTATCTTTTTTTTTATTTACCATATCAACATAACAAATACATTTATTTATATATTGATAGCAATAAAAAATCACTAAGGTTTAAACTGATGCCATCGTGAACATTCTTATTAGTTATTGAGTACTCACAAACTTTAAACTAATTAATAAGAATCGACATTTCTGGCAAAATCGACAAAAAAACCAAATAGAGATGTCCATACGCGATCCTTGTGAGTATCGTTTAATATTCCTATTGAAATAGACAAAATTGGATTGTAGAAATATAATTTTATAAAAAGCCTTAAAGGTATAAATACTAATTATACAAAAAATTATTACTCATATTTAACTAAATCGGGTAGTTCAATAATGAAAAAAGTTTTTAATGATTTTATTTTCCTTTAAAAGTAATCATAGTATTGTTTATTAACAACACCATTCACTGTGTTCATATTGATGAACACAGTGAATGGATTGCCCTTTAGTACAATATCTTATACGATTTAAAATCCACAATCTTAATCGATTACAAAATTTTATAGAAAAAGCGGTCGCTTGTGTTGCCACTGAGCAATCACTAGTCTAGATCTTCGTCCCGCGCCCCTCGCTCTTACCACCGTTAACAGCCTAAGGAACGTTTCTGCGCAGCGTCTCGCGCTTAGATCAGGCCTGCCAAGTTACAACGGCCGTACAGTACCTTGTGTTGATTAGAACAACACCATGGAAATGCCCGTATCGATTATTCAATTTTATTAAAAATTCACTTCGACAGAGGTGGCAGCAATAATATTAAGTTAGGGGATTCCCCTAGCCCTTTGATTGGTTTGTAATAATTACTAGCTGTGTCAGCGACTTCGTCCGCGTAGAATGGTTGTTATGAGAATCCAAATAATTACAATCTCTACATTTTAAAATTACTACTTTATAAATTTAGGCTGCCCACGACATAGGCCGCGTCTCGTCTCTCGGGACCCGTCGTTCTTATAAGACTTAAGAAGACATATAGTATCACGGACATTTCTGCAGATTATTAAAAGAGTAATCGTTCCTCTATACATTTTTTTTGGGTGTCTTGAAGCGTTTTCGCAGCGTCAGAAACCCATGGAGATGAAAAATTTCCGTTTTGTTCACATTTCCCGCTGTATCTTCGCTTCTATTAGTCACAGCGCGATGTTTTATAGCCTTCCTCGATAAATGCTTAAAATTTTCAATTCGAACTCGTAGTTCCTGAGATTAGCGCGTTCAAACGAACTATTAATGATGGGGTTTCATTTAAATTAATCTTTATACAATAGGTACACTTAGCATACAACAATTAATACAAAGGCTACAAATTTAAAAAATCTTATTTCGTAAATATTTTTTTTCCGTCTGTCAGTTATTGAGCTGACATGATTTGTCCCCGATATCTGAAAATAAAGTTATCCATAAAAATATTACACTTTTAAAACAAGTTGAGTCATCTAGTAAAGGAAGTCAAGGTTATAAATGTTTAGGTAAATTGTTTTTGTTTAATCTCTTGTTAAGATAATTTATATACATGCAAACAAATTTAAATCTTAAGTTCAATAAGTAGTAAGTGCCTACCTGTGATGAAACCCTTCACTCATTTATAAGTGTTCACATCTGACATGTTCAATCATTAAAAGCTTTTTTGAAAATTCCTTTCGGCAGTAGGGACACTGAAAGTATAATAAACTAAACTATTATTACATTAAATACTATCTATAGTTTACGCGAGTAGTACACATTTAAATAAAACACTTTAACGGTTTAAAACGCGATATATTAATTAAACTTATTTGAAAATGATTTTTTAACTTCGTCCCGACGTTTCGGATGCTTTGCAGCAGCCGTGATCACGGGGAGACGTCGGGCCGAAGTTAAAAATCATTTTCAAATTAGTTTAACTAATGTATCGCGTTTTAAACCGTTAAAGTGTTTTATTTAAATATTATTACATTCTCAAATACAGGCTTTTAAATTAAATGTTGAAATAAATACCTTAAATGGCAGAGTTTTAGAGTGAACCATACGTATGTGCCTTTGCAAATTACTTGATGTAGATGTTGCCTTTGGACATTGATGACATTTGAAAGGTTTATTTTTCAAATGGGATATTTTATGAACTCGCAATAAATATACACTTTTTCCTTTGTATGGACATATATCACAATGGTATGGAAAGATAGTTTGATGTGTATATCTAAAAAAAAAACAGAAACTTTATTGCATCCTATACAACAAAAGTCACAACATAATGTAATTCCTTAGAATCTAACATAATAAGGCATACTTCAAACGTAATGCAAAATCCAAGATAGAAACATCAGAAATCTCACAATTTATAAAGGAATTTGTGTTGAAGTAGAGACTGTAATTTAATAAATATAATACAACCTATGAGTTGTAACATTCATTGTCATTTTTCCGCAAATTTTACATTTCACTGGCTTCCTTTTCTTCTTTTTTCCTTTCATAGAAGTAAAGTTTTCTGATTCGCATGTACTCAAATGTGAAGTGTAGGCATCCTGAAATGAGAAATATTATATAGTTAATTAAATAGTAATGCATCTTTAATAAAAAAATCTCCTTTGATTTTTTACATAAACTTACCCTGTCAATAAACTCTGCATTGCAAATAGGACACAGCCACAGAACCACATTTTCCTCAGAGATTGTTAGGGAAGTTTCATTATTCAAAGATGAACTTTTGTTAATCAAAATTGTAGCCCTATTATTCACACTATTTGAGTTTTCTAAAAGCATTTTATAATTTTAGTACAGGTCCTTATTAAAAAAGTTAGTGGAATGTCAATATACAAATAATTTGAACAACTGTTTTAAAGCAATAAATTCTAATGATTGTTTTATTAAATGACTTTTCAACAGCTAAACCATTTCCTAGAATAATTGATGATTGAAGTATTTGTAACATATACCATTTCTGTTTAAAACTTCTTTACATCTCTGTTCACTTTTTTGGCAATAATCACGAAATAATATGCAGCTTTGAAGCAAATTTAAACATTTATGACAAATATGTTTTGAATGTTTGTCACTTTTAGCAATCTGGAAAATGAATAGTAACATTAACAATAGTAATACAAAAAAAATGATAATATAAATTTTATATAACCACAGTATGTAAGTACTTACAATAATTCCAGACACTTTTTTGATTTCATTTGCTATATTGAAACAATTTCGACTGCTGAAAATTGCGATGTTCCCTACAACTTTATTACAAATTCTACATAACTCTAAAGAATTTAGGTCATTTGAAAAGCTGAAATAAAGTTATGAAGCATTATAATTAAATTTGATTCACACAATAAATATTTGGTATACATAAATAAACGTTTGGGCTGTTTACCCGGTACTACTTCGACTTTTCTGATGTGCCATAGTCCCAAGCAATACTGATTTTAAATATAAAAGAGAGGTTAAAGTCATCGTAATAAAAATAAAAACAAGGTTATAAAATTACTCTTTCAATTTTGCTTTTTTACATTTAATTAGGGAACAAGGATCAACTGACCACTAAACAAGGTAAACAAGAACACTTTGTTTAGTATATATATTATCCTACTCTATGGTATACACTATAGATTAGACTTTAATTTGACGCTAAGCTTAACGTCAAACCTGACAGACGATGGTTATGAACATAATAATACTAATAGGCATACTGATGACAAGAAGTAAATTTTATTGAAATAAGTTGTGTGTATATTATTACAAAATTTCTAATTCCAAAACTCTGATTCTTTTCATAATTAAACGCAAGATGAATATAATAATCGATAAAATAAAATCGCTAAATACAGCAGTCAGCCATGAAATGTTGAACGCCAATCAGAGCGCATGACGTCACGTTATAGTTCTTTCTCTTTGTTTACATTTGAATTACTTAAGATAATACACACTCGCTCGCTTTTTTTAAATTAAATACGCCGTTATTGTTTTGTTATTGATGCCCTAAATTGAGTCATGGAACAAGGATTTACAGAGGCTTCCAGCGCAAATTTACCAAGAATCGACTTGATGATGCTAGGAACGTTTCTGGCATCAAACAAAGACTTCTGTTTAGCAGAATTTAGAAATGTTAAAACTTCCATGTAAGTATTGTGTATTAAACAGTTAATTAATTATTTAAACCATAAAAATAATTCGTTGAAAGCATAGCCATTGTACATATTTCAGTATAACGTTCAATATTACAATTTGAGGTTATGTTTATGTTAAATATTTCTTTTTGCAATTAAACATTTACCGTTGCTTTAATTATTTCAGGTCTGCTAGGGCATCTTATGGTGATGATGCTGTAAGCTATGTTCAGGTCAAACGTGAAGGAAATTTGTGCACAATAAAAGCTAAAATCTGCCCAGAACATTAAGTGCATGCCAAGTTGTATGGAGTGTCTTTGGTAGTCGACGAACAAGAAGAAACAGTTAAGTCAGTAGGATGTCATGATTGTGTAGCTTCTCAAGGAGGCTGCAAACATGCCATGGCATTTTTAATGTGGGTTCATCGCAGAAGTGAAGATCCATCTTGCACATCCATAGAATGCTATTGGAGGAAATCCAAACTTTTTAGAGTTGGGAGTACCGTTAAATACATAACTGCTACGGAATTATCTAAGGGTAGCCCTAGCATACCATCAGATACCGAAGTATTCGAAAAGTTTGTAGAAGAAGGGAAGAGAAGGTTAACCGACTGTGAATTAATGAAATACCAAAAGGACTATGCTTTTGATAGACTTCTTAGTCTATCAATGGACAATTTAGTGTTGAAATATAAAGAAAACTGTTGTAATAAATTTTTGGATAGTGTGATATTTTCTGATGCTGACATCAACAATGTAGAAGAAGAAACAAGGGAGCAACATAAAAGTAAGCTTTGGTATGGATTAAGGTATGGCAGAGTGACCGCTTCAAGAGCATATGAATTCAGTAGGTGTAAAACCAGTGACGGCACTCTGATGGCAGTTATAATGGGTGGAAAAATTCCAGACACAACAGCTATGAAACGTGGTAGAATTTTGGAGGATGAAGTGAGGAAAACTGTAAGTGCCAACCTGGAAAAGAAAATTAGAAAATGTGGGTTGTTCTTATCTAAAAATTATCCCATGCTAGCGGGTTCACCTGATGGGATCTGTGAAAATGGTATAATAGAAATTAAGTGTCCTATGAGTCAAAAAACAGTTAAAGCATATGTAAAGAATAGGAAGCCAACCCAAAAGTTTTATGTGCAAATGCAACTTCAAATGTTACTAAAGGAATAAAGGTACTTTGTGTTTATAAAGAGGATTATGGAAATTATGTATGATGAAAAATATGTATCACAGGTGAAGTCCCTTTGGAAGGAAATATATCCATTATAAAGTAATGTTATAAATAAAAACCAGTTTATGTAAAAATGTTTTTATTTATAGGATAAACCTACATTCTTGCTCAGCTTTCTGCAACGACTTCTCTTCTTTTCTTTTTCGCACTATATTTCCTTACGTTTGAGTTGGAAGTTCGTTTTCTTCTGTCAGATTGGCATTCAAATTTTGAGGGAACGCACCCAGGTTTCATGCGAATCTGCGACACTGACCCCATCACATGATACTCCATGTAGTTTGCCATACAATTTGGTAACTGAAAATGAAATAAAATACCTTTTTAATAGCTTATTCATTGAGGATTTGATTACAATAAGTAACAGTGAGTAAGAGAATCATAACTTCAAAAAAGTTTGTATATCAATGTTTACTTCTTCCATAAAATTAGCTTATAATGAATTTAGCAACAAAATTCTACAATAAAAAAGGAAATACTTACGTCAAAGTGATCTTCACAAAAATAAAGCTGTGTAGTGGATAATATTCCTTTCAAATCACGTCTTGCAAGTTCAAGCCACTTCTTTCTTAATTTCTTATCGAAAGGAACGAAAATAAATAACTTCTCAGGAGTTTTTATGGACGTATTAGTACACAGAGGGACGGAACACCACCTATATGCTTTCGAAGTCATGTTTTTAATGTAAAAACTAGTAAAATGGCCAAATTAAATATGAATTAGCTAATGTTTACATATACCGAATGTTCCTTATACTCTTAAGTGACGTAAGCAAGCGACGCCATGACACTTTGACGCGTTTTGGTGCAAATTTTAAATTTATGAATCAAAAATTATTTTTTAAGTACTAAACCTAAATTTTCCGCAGAAATATTATGTTTATTATAATTCATATATATTTTCAAATATTATAGAACAGTTTCCCAAAATTTGTCATCATGCCTATTACAAGAGTATGTGCGCTGTGTATTTTGTTTGGTATTCTGTTATCTGTATAATATTATACGTCTGTGTGTTATATTTACCTATAATGACACTCGATGTAGTAGTCCGTAGGATCATTAGGAATTTAGGATTATATCAAGTATTAGTTTAGTTTGTGAATAAATATGAATAGTTCATGAAAAAAAACTTACTATATACTTCGAAATACAAAATAGAATATTGTTTTCTTTATTCCCACGATAGAAAGCGATAGCGTAAAAATTCGTGTAATTAAAGTTTATTAAACGGTGCAGGAAATCAATCGATTCAAATATTATATTTGTTTGTTTGAACACAACAGTGAATATGAATGTTTACTTACCGAATCAGACACTTAAAAAATTAAGCCGTGTTTCATATCCTGTCAAGAATGCAGAAGCTGAAAGTGAATGCACGAATGATCATTGGCAAACACTTTTTGCTGATAAGTAAGTTTTTTCAACGTCAATAAAGTAGTTTCGCCAGTAAGCTATTGAGTATACCGAAATAAGCTCATTATTTACAAATTTTATTATTTAAGGGAACGAATGGGACCCCTGTTGGCAACAGAGATGATATGCAGGGTTTGTGGTCGAAATGGATGTACTCCAATAACAGAAAAATTGTCTTTATATTATGATATTTCAGAAGCAATCTGCAGTGTCAGTAATATTTCTGTAAGTTTGGAAATACCAAGAGCTATAAGAAATAGTTATTAATTAGGTGTCTAATATTTATTCCAAATCTTAATGTTGTAGATTAACACCGATGACTCATTACCAAAATACATCTGTACTGATTGTCTAGAATCCCTTAAAGTGGCTATGATCTTTAAGAGGAATTGCGAGATTTCTGAAAAAAGATTTAAAATGATTTTAAATCCTATGGGTGTGTATTTTTGATTAGAATTTTATTTACTGAATATTATGTCAGTAATATTATATAGTGTAATTCAATATTAGGCAGTTTAAAAATCTATGCTATGCTTCAAAGGGGACTTGACCCATAACAATACTCTAGACTTTTTTTAATTTATTTTTTTTATGTTACACCTTTTTGTTAGACAGTGGTAGTCCATATCTCCAAATGCTATGAATTTTTTTTAGACAAAAGTCCTTTAATTTCTATTTTTTTATGATACAACATACAAAAATACATACAATCCTCAATTTTCACCCTTCTACGATCAACCCTTATTTAAAAAAAATAAAAAATGTAAATGGCAAAACAATGTTTGCCGGGTCAGCTAGTATATATATGTAGATATTTTACTCTTAATAACCATTTCAATCACAATATTTCCAGGTGATCCATCATTACATTCATATCCATATTCAAAACATGATTTCCAATTAATACTTCATCATTTAAAGAAAAAACGCTTGATGCGAGAAGAAGCAAAAGAAGAAGCGAGAAGAAAGAGAGAAAAACTTTTGCAGAAGAAACAACTACCTAAGAAGAAAGAGATTAAATGTACTTCCTGCGATATGGTGTTTGATTCTAAGGTATAATTATACTAATGAATCCTTTTAGGAAAACAGTATTTTTTTTATTGAATATCTGCTTGTATGAAGATATGATCTAAGTCACCTCATTCTAGCTATTATAAAGCCCCACCTTAAAGAAGTGCATTCAACATTTTAATACTGCTCACTGAAGCAAAAAAAGGATTTTACCAATCCTTACTAATGTTGAATTTATCCAACTGGAAACATATTTTGTAATGCTTCTCTATAAATTCTTTGAAGGATGTGTAACTTACTATTTGGTGTTAAAAAAAAAGTTTCTTTTTTAAGGATGTTTTAATAGCTCATAGACATGAAAAGCAATGTATGCTCAGAGCATGCGATATATGTGGCCAGCTGGTTTATAGTATAGCTAAGCACATGAGACATATTCACAAGCAAGTTGTGTCCCATAAATGCCCAACATGTGGCAAAGAATTTCCAATCATAGCAAGGCTGAAAAACCACATGTAAGTATTTAAAACCATCAACTTATTTATTACTCATGTGATAAAAAAAGGCTTTAAGCATTATACTTGCAGGATGCAGGTTCGAGTCCGACCTGTGTCGTATTTAAAAAAAATCTATATACATTTTACAACATGGTACCTGCTTCATGGTACCAACTGTTAAAAATTGATAAAACATTAATAAAACGTCCGAAATCTAATTTCTTTATTATAATTACAGGTTGGTACACACAAACACATTTAACTTCTTTTGTGATTTATGCCCTTACAAATGTAAGCACAAGTACTACTTGGTGATGCACATGCGGACACACACAGGAGAGAAGCCGTACAAGTGTCCTGTGTGTCCTGCTACTTTTGTCAATCCTTCAAACTTGAATAAGCATAAACTTACACACCAAGAAAAACAATTCAAGGTAAGTAAAGTAAACGTTTTTAACTTTTGATTTACGATCATAGGACATTACTGAACCTTCGCTTAGTAATGTTGCATTCGCTGTGCAAGAGTAAAACAGTGTCTTTTACAACACAAAAAAATCTATTTAATTTTTTAATTACTGTTAAAAGTTGCAACTTTTTACGTTACATTTTAATTGCGAAAATCAACGAAATAGAAGAAGTAAGGAATCAGGCTTTTATACACGTCTAACAGAAACAATTTATTATTTTACCCTGAGGTTTGCAGTTGCAACATCTTTTTTTAATATAATGATTTAAAACTCTAAGCCTGTACGTACCTACCTCTTCACAGTTCCTGTGGTAGTTCGGCTCTCTGTAATTGCATTCCGCGCCAGAGCGTTACTTAAATATGTCGCAGAATTTTCCTTGTTTTATTCGTTTTTGTCCTCCATCTAAACATAATTAATTGGAAAATATAAGTAATATTGTTTATTCTTGTTTTCCAGTGTATAATGTGTGACAAAGCTTTCCGTACTAACGCTGCATTGCGTGAACATCGTGATGCGACGCATATGAATATCAAGCACACATGCAATATTTGTGGGCGGGAATTCTGTTATAAGTCAGTATATTAAGATTAGAAGAGTAGTACTAAGTATATAATAAGAATTACACTCAATTACTGGGTTTTGCATTCTGTATGGATTCTGCCATGTGGACCGTGGGGAGTCAGTATTACGCCCAGTTAATCAACCCACAAAAAAATTAAATCACTGTTAATTTAAATTATTAACCATTTGTCAACTTGATGACATTTTATTAAGTAGTTTGGAGAAAATAGTTACATGTTTCAAAAGTGTGTTAAACATTTCAATAATCAAATAAGCTCTTAAAATTTGGTTTTATATGATTAAAATTGGTTTAGTGAGAGGTAAAGAATTTATATATCATGTGTACATGGGTTCTAAATCGACCAGTGACTACTTGTAGGCTATTTTTGCTCCACTCGCATTCTCGTAGCATAAGGAAACCCCGATGCATAGATATATAAAGTTGTGTAAATTAATTCGCGATTTTTTTCTAATAGATCTGATCTACGTAAACACGAAATACGCACGCACAACAGGATAAAACGAGACTACGTCGGTGGTGAACCGTCTTACAAGCAAGTAGAGAGGATGAAGGTACAGGAGAATGATATTACAAAATGGCGGCAGCAGGACGTCATAATAACCCAGCCAACGATGGAAGCGACATTCGTGGAACAGAAACAGGACTATATGCCTCAACATCAGATATATTTCACCGAAATCAACGGATTAATTCAACCTCAGGGTATGAGTTTTCAGAGAAGTTTACAGTTTATTGTTTATTAGGTGCTCTTATGGTGGGTAACCACTATAAGACCTACATGAACTGAAGATGCGCTGTTGACTTCTTTGATTTGCTTATTTGACTTATATATACGCGCTTATCATAAATCCACAGACTAGAATCAAAACATGGATTTACACTTCACGGTTCTCTATTTATGGACTTTATTAATTAATGCCCGACGGAATTTCTATATTTCTACCACCAACTACATTCTTGTACAGATTTTCTAAACCGAATCTAATAGAAAAATTTCAAACGACATTTTGGACCCGGTGATAATCGATCAACGAGAACATGTATTATCTGCAACAAACATTTGCCTAGCATGGTATATTAAGCCTATACCATATTATATAATGATCTCAATAACTTTATAACCTTAAAACAATTATAGTAATAATATTTATCATTTTCAGCTCAACCACAGACAGTGCAAGTGCAACTCGCGTTGTAAGTATTATTTTTACATTACGTACGTAATAATACTGAAAGTTCAAAAGTAAACATATTTTAGTACATAGATATTACATAAGAAATTGGTATTTTTTTATTTATTGTATAAAATACATACATTTTTTGTTTTAGACCGGAACTTGTTATGAAGGATGAAGTAAAAATGTATGAGGCCCAGCAATCGATGGGGTACTTTTGAACGCAGCTATTATAAAAAAAGCGTAGCAGCATGTATAAAGTGCCGTGTTTTAGCGACTGTTATGATACGACATAATATGTAATAATCAATGTATTACCATGAGATAAGGTTATTAGTGAAAGTTGATTTTTAAATAACAATGTAAAAATAAACTATATACAACATCAAAGATAAAACTCAGCATCTTGCTATTTTATTTATTAAAAAATTTAATCTCTATTCCCTCGTGGCGCATGGGGCGAACACATTTCTGTGTCCGTTTCACTCATCGGTTTTATTCACACGAAAGTTGTTGATCAGACTATTGTGCCCTGCCCGATCGAAACAGTTTATAGTTTCCTCGGGATTCGCACCGCGAACTCTCGCGCTTAACGCTACGTTAGGCAACACGTTTAACCATTTAGCTACATATGTCAAATTCTAACATATATTATGTCATGGTTGTATTGCCATTAATATATTATTTATTATTCATAGGCTATAACATATCATTAATAGTTAGGCCTGTACAGACGTATAGACTCTACTATCTAGAATAGGCTAGACTTTGCATAGTGTTACACTCTTTGGCTTTACATTTCTTGGTGGGTGGGTGAAAAAGGGGTAGGATAAAAATAAGATCCCTATCATTTCAAATGCGCTTTTCGGCGCTAAGGCTATAAATCCTCACAAGATAAGGTTAAATTGAATCATGGAGCTGGAAGTGATAGCGTTCGTAAATTGTATTTATCAGAGTAAACGGGTAGCTAAATCTGAATATAGTAGACACATATTGCTAGATGTCCTTCGTCACTAAAATCTAAGGCTGGAGAGAATGAAATTTGATTTCCCGCTGGTAGGTTTTCGATATTGATCGTCTTCGTTGGTATAAAAGCGCTTATTAAACGAAACATTAAACGGTTTTAAATGTCAAAATATAGAGTTAACTTTGAACTTCGACGATAGCAGATTTGTCTATAAGATTAGGAACGTCCACCATCCTTGTTTACTCTTGTGACCACGACTGCTGCAAAGCTATCAAGACGACAACTTGTAGTTAGGTAGTCAAACAATATTTTAATGTGTAGGTACGACTCGCGTCAACTACAGACAACAAATAAGTAACTAGTGTTCTTATGTTCGATAAATGACTTTAAAAAATTTTTTTATACATCTTCAGTCGTGGGTATATAAAGAATAGCAATGAGGATGACTAGGCAATATAGACCAACTGATACAAGCCATGACGACAGGATAAGTCCCTGATAGAATTAGTAGTGTTACATTCTAACCAATTAATCAGTTCAGTATACTCACGACCATAATCTCAGTAGCTTGATTATCTACGTTCTCGTATATCCCTTTGGGTACTAAAATACGTCCGTGTTATCTCAAATATGGGGCTGGGTAATTTATAGCCATGCGATACCTACGCCAGTATTAATCATTGAAGTCGGCGTAAATTGGGTACGGTTGGGATCGGTTTAGAAAAAACGGCTGAAGTGATATCAGACTAATAAATTACAATTTACTAATTGGAATCTGGGCTGTAAAAGTACAGTAATCTAGAACTAAGCTGTCTGTAGTTTACGTGAGTAGGTAGTATATATTTAAATAAAACACTGACCGTGGTCACGGCGAGACGGCTGCTGCAAAACATTCGAAACGTCAGGCCGGGGTTAAAAATCATTTTTAAATAAGTTTAACTAATATATCGCGTTTTAAACTGTTAAAGTGTTTTATTTAAATAGAACTAAGCTGATCATTTCAATTATAAGCACTGTGATTCTTTGACGTAAATAGTTTTAAAATTAGTACTTCATTTTCAAACGTCAGTTTTTATGTGTATATGGAAACGTATGTTGCCTGTTAGTGAAAAGTAGCCTCTAGGGGAAGTGCGAAAATATTTATAATTCTAAAATGTCATCTAAAATTGGATACGGCCAGATACGACTATTTATTGAAGCCTAAAATGACTCTGTTTTACTAATGTCCAGGGATTGTAATAGTTTAATTTTAGATCTCATTTTTGTACCTATGACCTTTTCCTTCACGACACAAATACAATAATAATATACATAAAAAATTTCATTAAATTATGTCGCGTATTTCAAGTGTCTTTATTTGAAGGAGAAGAAAATTACCTTCGGTATAAAGGATTTAAGGCAATTATATTCGTCTTGATTATTATTGTCGTTTGTATATTAGGAACTGTTATACTTATAAATAATATTTTAATAATTTTATTATTGTAGAATATACCAATAAGCATAAAGCATAATATATAGTATGTAATATCTTTGAGTTTAATTCATAATTAAATTAGACTAGAATAAAAATGGACGTAGACGTGCAAAACTTACTAAGTGACTTTTCGGAGTTAAGAAAAAGTTAATACGCGTTGATTTTGGCGTAAAGCCAGCGAGGAAGTAATTAGGACTAAGGAGTTTTTAATTTTAGAGTGATACTTTGGAAACTTCAAATTCTTCTATATCTTTAATTTATAAGTTGTTAAATGTTAGATGCAAAATCGCATTTCCGTATATTTTAGAAATATAAAATAATAACCAATATTTTATGATATTTCTGACCGTTATGAAGTAAATAAAAAGATATGTTATACATGCTTCCTATTATGGACTTAGCCTATTATTTAACTTAGCCGTGGGGAACTCATAAGCTTCGTTGTACAAAAACCAAAAAAATAAGTCCGTCCAGACAATAGACAGACTGCCTAAGTCAATTTTCAAAATCTTAAATTTAAAAAATTTAAGAAGTCACGGAAACAACTAGCGCACGAAGGAAATCGTAAACATCCGCGGCACATAAAGTAGAAATGCTTTATTCAGCGAAGTAGCAAAGTAAACTGATATAAAATATTAAACAAGCCTGTATAGCCTGCCTATTTACGAACGCGCCATTAATCTCATTCAGTCAACGTCTTCGACTTACATTATAGTTGTTTTTCTCTTAGTTCTACGGAGATATTTATGCCTACTATATTGATTTTTTCATTGATAACGATTAACGATAAAAATCGTGGGTCACAATCCCATCAAGTGAAGCGATTCTAAATTCAATAGAAATAAAAACTTGTGTTGCTTCTTTTGTCATTTAAAGTGGTAAAAATCTGAAGTTCCTAAAAAGTACTTCTGCCGTTTGAGAACTAACGTTACGTTTGAGTTCGAGTTGCCTGAGGTATCAATTATTTCTTATCTGACAGTAACCTGGGCTCCGGAAACTTCTCTGAAAGATTGCCCGCGGCGCCGACTTATGTAAAAAGTAAGGCTGAGAAAAGTATTAAGTTAAATCTAAGATATTCGTTTGTAAATTGCTTAGAAAGTGGTAAGTTATCTCGGGACGCCCGCGCCCTTCCGTTTTGAGTGCCGCCATTAATCACAATCACTTTTACATTTCACGAACACGGTATTGGGTAAGTATTTTCATTTGCAAAATGATTTCTTGTTTAATTTCTGACAAGGTGACTTATTGATGGTATTGTTTTATAAAATGGAATAATAAAACAGTTTTACTTCTTCGTGGTACATGGAGGAGACACGTTTATATATTTGTTTACTATCTGTTATTATCAGGCACGTGGATTATGGTCCCGACCGAAAAAAAAAAAAAAAAAAAAAAAAAAACGCGGGCTTCGAATCTAGATCGCAATGCTAGGCATGTTTAAACGTGGGTAAATTTAACTGAGGAGGATGATTTTTTTATTACATTTAGTCTTTCAACAGCAGGACTTTCTCCTTGAGTAAAATAATAATTAATGAACGTCGACAATACAGCTAATTGCAGGCCAGTTTTGCGAAATATTGCTCAACGACAGACATGTTCATGCATACATATTACCCCAAAGGCCAAAACGTGAGCAGGGTCATGGAACAAAAAATGTCAAGGTTATTCTTGTGAAAGAACTATTTGATATTGCAAACAATCTCTCTTGGAGCTTCAGATTTTGCCCAATATGTCTGTAGTCTAAGGTCACATCAATACTAATAAAAAAGTTCTTAAGAAACACACTTATAATTAGTAATTATTACTGGTCTTCAATCGTAATAATATGTTCACCAAACTTCAGTTTTAATAAACTTTTTAGTCCCGTGTCTTAGAGGTAACACTACACTAAAATTAATGACCCGTAACTAATGATAAGTGATAATTTTGGCCCGAGCCTTATTTGGTCTAGAGGGTTCTGAATGAGAAAAAAAAATGTGTTTTCCACGAAAAGCTTTTTGTTATGTTTAATAATACCGACATTATTTTTAATGTATACGTTTCACCTATTAATGTGTATATAAGAGCTTATTTGTAGCAGTAATCTTTTCAAGAAATTTCTGTGTAATTCAGCTGAATGTACATGTATCCCTTTGATTTATTAGTATTTTGTTTGCTCGTATTTCTAAGAAGCTTAGAAATACGAGCAAACAACTTCTTTGACATATCCATAATAAAGAGACACCAATAAGTGAGACTTATTACATTTATAATTTACAGCGTTTTTATTTTATTTCGTTTTCAAGGTAATATATAATTATTTTGTGTTTTTCTTGGTCAACCCAACATACTTTTGCATAAAATGATAATACTATTTACCATACATTAGTATCATTTGGTCTCAATATTAACATTTCAGTGCACTCCAAGACGGCTGCGGCGCGATGATAACTGCGTAGCTGCTACGCGTTACAGGGTAGTGTCAGACTTTCGTAGCACATAACGCCGTAGTAAGAACGCTCACGGTGTTTTTAAGTTAATGGTAAACAACTTAATACAGTCCCTAGAGGCCTAGACTTAAAATAATGGCGCAGCTGCTATTTTTTCTATACTCCTTGGATAATAAGTTGTCTTTCGAAATTTAATAAATAAATTTCAAAAATAATATATACAAGAAGGTCACTCGGTTGATGGTTGGTAGGGCGAAGACTTTAAAGCATATTGATATTTCTGTAGTCCTAAATAATTACTGTATAGTATAGAGTTGCTAAGTATTAAAAGTATTGTCACAGTAAAAA